AATGCATTGAACCAGACCATTTGCGATTAATGTAGGCCCCTAGCCAACGAAATTTCCAATAATGTTGACAGAACAACTGTCGCCCTGTTTTGGAATGAGAAGGGACAAAGCAGACATAAGTTTGAAAATCTCACTCCAATTTCAAAAGAATTCGGTATTCTGAGCTAAACGTTTCTGCATCTGGTGTCAAGTAACAATATGTCTGTATTCTGTAGCGGTCTTTCTGGAAATTTAACTGTTCAAAGAAGTCACGTTAAGCTATATTCAACCTTCACAGTTGGTTATTTATTTATTAAATTTAAAATACCCATAAAAATGGCGGAATCTTCTTTTGATGCTTAAAAATTCCAACATGTTAATCCTCTCTTTCAACAGACGAAAGTATGTTTTATTCAAACCCCGGAAGGACGATTACAAGATTAGAGAAATTAAGTGGCGCGAAAGGTTTAAAATATTGTTACAATGGCCATGGAGTATGGTCTGTGTCACGTCATCAAATACGTCTACACTATTTACATCATTGCCATAATCATGTGCAATGTGTGGCTTTATAAGGCCACGACGCCGTCAAATCACTAGTCACTGAGGCCGAGTAGAACCCTGTGATTAAACTTGCCGTTGGCAAGTGAATCCGATGCAGATGGGTTACAATGGAAGGCTCATCTTTTGTGTGATGCACAAGATGAAGGTCCTCTTTTTGGATGACCTGCCGAGTTTAATACCGAGCTAGGAACAGATATGACCGTATATCATTTTGAAATGTTCGTTATGGTCACCTTTCTTTATGCTTTGCTTTGCTTTTGAGTTACTTTAGGGCCTGAGAAATCCAAGGCCAAGGCAGCGGTATTATGACGAATTGAAAGTAACCAAAGAACTTGTGCAACTGCCGCTCACGTCTGTTCCTTTTCTGCTCCAAAATGTATTCCCGTTGGAACAAGAGCGGATTCGTGGAGGACAACGGGGGCTACTCCCCCCCCCAACAATTTAATTATTGGCTTTTTTATGAGAAGAAGGCGAAGTTGTTGGTCTCATTCATTTTCTTTCCTTCAAAAAGTGTATAAAAGGCCCCAAAATGCATAACTCCTCCGAATGGACATAAAAGGATACATTTCAATCCCCCGAAAACACATTTGGCACCCGGAAATGTAGTTCTGAAACCGTTTGACGTACTTTAATAATGATGGATTCCTGGTGCAACAAATCCCTACAGAAAAAATCACGAGGGTGACAACAGAAAGTCACGCAGATAAGCCTCGAAATGCATCCATGAAGCAAAATGAAATCATCCTCAGATCTTTGACCCCACTTTTCAGTTTGCAATGATACACATGGTGGTGTGATGTTGTCATTTTATTGTCGTGTTGCGTGGACACTGCATGCAGCGGGCAAGGGCGGCCCGTCCTTGCCATGAACGTGTAAGTTCACGCGTGGTTCGTGTTGCGACGAAATATGGTCTGTTCGGGGCAGGGTGCTGCTGATTGGTCGGTTTGTCTGAGGTGATCGTGGCGCCGCAGACAAGCCACCTTTAATTCACATTTTACTCAAGGCTGTTCGTAGAGTGGCCACAACTGGCTAAGAAGTTAGATATTACCACGCGTGAAGGGGAATTTCTAGCCAATAAGATCGCACGTACGAACTACAGCAGCAGGCCTATGTATCAGCCTGCCTACATGGAATTACTTAAAATTCATCCTATATACGGGGATATATAGGAGAGAAGGGATCTTTTAAGCCACTTGATTTCGACAGTTCACGCTGAAGTCGGACGGCTTGAGTCTCCACTGCACTGCTCTACTGTCATCTCAAAGCTTCGCGTTTTTGCTGAGCACAGAATCGGATGTTGTCTCTGGATACACGGGCTTTAGGGTAAGTGAATATCTCGCCTCCCCAATCAAAATTTGTTATAAATCTAAAAATTTGTGGGTTCTTTTTTTTTACGTTTAAATCGAAGGAGGGTTTCCCATTCCAACATTTCAACAAAAAAAAAGAACGAAATCACGTTTGGCTTTTCTTCAGGACGTTAATGTGTCCTTGATGCCTCGTAGGCCCCGTAATCCGATCGAGCTTGTAAATTATGTGTCGTTGTATCACACATGGACTTAATTTTAATGCCAATGATTTTTCGACGTTCAGAATAAGTAAAAGAGATAGAGTTTGCAAAATTATAGGCAGCTAATACATTTTGATCATGGTATTTATTCATAAATCATTTCAGTAATATATATCAAAATATCATAATTTGAATTCGATTGTCTGGATTATGTCTTTTTAAAGTGCCCGTTTGAAATTTTTCACCTCAGTATTTCTGGGTTGCAATCGCAGACCCAGATTCCAAACATACAAGAAAAGGTTTCTTTATCATTGGATTATTCTGTTCAACCACTGAACAAGGAGTCAGAACGAACTTTCTTTATACGGGCGATTAACAATAGTGCACCTCAAAGAGTTTGCAATTTGTTGGCCAATCACAATAAACGAAATGTGTCGACCCTTTCCAAACGCGCATTGCGTTGACAGATTTTGCGCATTGTGATTGGCCAGCGTGTTGCAAATGCTTGGAGGCGCAGTACCTGTATTCTTGAATCGGGTCGGATAGCTTAAAATGATGAACTACTTTGCAGCCAGAAAAATAGCCCTTTTAAAAGCCAAGCCTGTGATGTTGCTTAGCTTATGCATGATTTTCCCTAGACTGGTTTCCGTACCGTACGTAGTCTGCAAACCTATAGGGCTGGGACCAGTCCAGATTTTCCCAAGGGGGGAGGGTAAAGTCACAGCCGCCCACTTGACCCATCTGTGCTAAACATGTACCTCACTGCAGCACGTATCACGCTATATTCAGTGTATAGTACATCCCACCAATGATTATTGTGTCATATCCCCCGAAAAAGAATTCAAAAACAAACGTTATTCGAACACTTTCAATATTTTTTTAAACTCAAATCCTTCAAGGATGTGACAAGACTAGAGAGTAATTGCTTCGAATGTAAACTGGTGCTCAATACTCTTGTGAAAAAAATTCAATACCGTTTGTACAAAATACACCCACAGAGTTCGATGAATTAAGAATAGATGTCAAGAAATTTACCGCCTAAAATAAGTATAAACTTTAAAGACAAAACTCTGATTTTTTTTCTTACTTTGGACACTTTTAAAATGAATTCCTGCTATAGGACAATTCATGCCCAAATGTCTGTCTGTACGTTTATAAGTAGGAGTGCTGAACTAATCCTTAAAAAGCGTGTAAAAATATCCTTTATAAACTTCTTTAAGTAACAAAGTACGATATTTCTTTGAGGTCGTGGAAAATGAAAGAATTACAGCCGAAGAGTAGTGCACTTTGCACATGACCTATTTTTTTTTAAAGCCTTTACACTCGAAGTCAGATCTGTAAAGGCCTCATTCTTAATTTAAACCAAACGTGAGCTATTCCACTGACAAATCAGCAAATAGTTCCAATAAAGATAGTTCTGTGCCCCAAAACTGGCCCACGAGGTCACGAATTCAACTCAAACACTTTTGTTACACAGTTTCATGTGTGTCTGTGGGCGCCATTGGTAATTTTTACACGCGGAGGAGTTGCCAGAAGAGAAAAGAGACGGTGACGGGATAGTCAATATTGCACTGTTCATTTCATATTTCTGATTCCCCAAGCCGAATAATGACTTTGAAATAATTGCCAGCAGGTTTTTGGTTTTGACAAGCATGCAGCAAGTTTCTGAACTAATCGGTTTTACCTTAATCCAAAAGGTCGGCGTCTTTTAGTCATCTTCTAATCCGTCATCTCAGGGTGTCAATACTAAGAAGCTTTAACGTAAAGCATGAATAAGGCAAGGTTACGGCTTTCTCTTGCTGGCAGTAATTTAAGGACATGTACATGTCTGAATGAAGAGTCCTGTCACCACTGAATGATTTGTTCCGAGTAAAGAACTATCCATTGTTGCCCTGACTTCAACTAATTTTAACTCCTTTTGTGTCAAGAGAATATTCAAATTCAAATACATGTATTGTGCGCAAATTTCAAAATTTCTCAAAACAGATTTTGGAAATCTACGGTGTTTAAATGTAGTGTTTTAATTTCCACTTCAACCTCCAAAATTCTTCGACTGAGCTTGTTAAGCAAAGCCTGTCCCCAAATAATGGAACGAAAGAGTTGATACCCCCACTGTCACTTGGTCATTGATGAATGACCACGTCTAATTGGCGTGGTGTTTCTTTCCCCACCTTCGACCTCTATAAGAGCCTGGGTTCGAATCCAGCTCGGTCCCCATGTGAATTCGGTTTTCAGTCCCTGAGTTCATAGGTTGTCCCCGAAACCTGTATTCGGGGTTTTCCTCCCACCTCTAAATTTTAAAACTGAACATTTCTTCATTCCCGTCTTCATTTATCATCATCATCATCCTGTGCGCCAAATGCGCTGTTGGATGATCAGATATACATAAATGTTACCGTTCCCGCTGAAGCCAAGTTGTTGAACCACTGACCATGTAAAAATTATTCTTTGTAAAAAAACCACCTCTTCACTACGTTTAAATTGAGTAACGGCACGTGCATTCAAATCATTTGTTAGACTTTTATAGTGCCCACGTTGTTAGCATGCAACCGATGTTGTGAGGCTGGTTGAATATGTAACTATGGCGACAGTTTCTTCATACCGTTGTGAGGTCAATATCTGTTTGCTGGTCCGCACAGACAGGCAACATTTCGTGCGTCACTTCAGTTTCAGTAGGACTATGATGGAATTGGCTTATGTGGTAATAATTGCCATTTTACTCGTAAAACTGACTCAAATGATCTACCGTACAAATTCGCTCTTTTACTGAACCCCTCGAGCGCACCATCGACCCCTCTGTAATCAGTGTAAAACCGCAAACCATGAATAGAGTTTGACAAATGCTGTCGATGTTGCGATAATCTTTGATCCTCGCACTTCTCCAAAGAGTCTAGAGACTGATGTTACAAACATAAAAAACTAGCTCTAGCAAAGACTAGCACAAGCATAAATGTATATACATTTATTCAATGTGTGTACTGTATTTCGCAAACACATCGAACAAAAATTTGGTTTGAAAAGGTATAAATCATTTGGTCGTTTTTTAAAGATCTTTATGGAACAGGAAGGGCGAACCTAGGGAAGGCTGTCTTACATTTTAACGTAATGTTATTACCCTTTGAAGATCGACGGCGTTACCTCCGTGGTCACGTGGAGGGACCTCAGACCTTCTCGTCTCAACAGCTGGGTCATTCTATAAATTAGAGGTCCATTTTTTTCGTGTCCCTGTTACATTTGACATGCGATTCTGTAAGCTCAGAACATATTCTATAATTTCCAACAGTGGTACATTAATGTAACTTAACTGTCAAACAAATAGAAACAGTTAGTAATAAGTTTCAGTGATATTTCCATGTCAAATTACACAGGTCAGGTGTAACAGGGACACAAAAAGTCACACTTTTGGACCCTGAAGTTATAGGATGACCCAGCTGTGTCGCCCCACAATAAATTTAGAAATTTGAGAAAGAAAACCAAATCCCTGTACATTTTGAATACCGAATTAAAAACACCTTCGGAGTGTTCTAAAACTGATTTTCATGTGTCGCATTAAGGAGATTGGATGGCAGTACATTATTCATAAACTGTGCTTTTGGTTTGGATATTTTGAAGGAAGCAAGATAAGTCTGGTTATCACCGAGTCGCACAGCAAACCGGCCAACATGAAACAGCCACCTGCAACTCCCAAGACTCCAATCGCTATAGTCGGCATTGGTAAGTTACATCCCACAACCGTTCATCTTCAGTCGACGTGCATTATGCTGGGGCGAAATAGGAGACGAACAAAATATCCATGAAATAACCACCAGAGGTTTTGAGGGCCCCAAACAAGTGTAGGGTCTGTGGTTTACATTTGTGTTCGCCTCAAGACACCCCTTAACATGGCGATTTCTTGCGTTGTATATCACTTTTTGTATTTAAAACATTTTAATGTTAAATTCGGGACTTTCATGATGTCAAAAGAGATTGTTTAAAAAAATCCTGAAATCAAGAAATTCCTGATGAAAAATCCTGAAATCGGGATAACTCCTGACAAATCTCACACCGGTTACGCTTTCTGAGTCATTCCCAAACTACGGAATACATAGCAGGTACATGAAGTTCTAAGAAAAGGACTCTTTCCATGTTTTATAAATTGAAGGAGGAAACTTTTATCCCGTGTTTTTTAAATTCGACTCTAATATTTGGAGAAAATAAACGCGCAACACTCCATTATTTTCAAATTATATTTTAAGGTCCCCAGAGCATTTCAGTTAGTCATTTATCAACAACCTCCTTGATGCCCGCAGCTGTAGGAAAAAAAAGTTTCTGGATGGCACGGAAAAGTTAACTTTCAGTGAGCCAACAGGTTAGGTGCAGTTAAACTTCGATTTTTCTAAGATGACAAAGGAACCGGAAAAAGGACTCCAGGCGATGGAGACTGTGTGTTTATGGGGTGGAGATGTAAGCAACTCGTCAGTATTTGATAAGCTGACTTTTCAAAAGAGAAACTGCATAAAATTAATATACTAAAAATATTTTGAGAAGACTGATATTTACAGGGCAATATTGTAAGCGGGAGAATGTCAACGGATTGAAAGAAAAACTCTTTTCAGTGAGCACATATTACGATATCTACGAAGGAATACGCTTGGCGAATTGATTCTTAGACATTCAATGGGGCTTCGAGGACACTGTATAGAAAAAAATATTTTTCCGACTTGTTTTCCCGCACACTTTCAGGTTTTTTCGTTCCAATTCGTCTCGACAAAACTGGAACACGCAAATGTTACAACGAAAGTAGTTGCCACCCATTCGAAATGATCAGTGGTTGATCTTTTTCTATTTTGTTTATTCGATTTCGTCAGATGTCAATGGAATCCTGGTGATCGTGTACATAATTGTGAGGACTGAATTAGTCTTCGATCGATTTTAAGAATTTTTCGATCAAATTCATCGGATGGCGTAGAGTAATGCAGACATGTATTTCGCCGCGCCCAATATATTGCAAGACGGGAAATTGAAGCTCGAACAACCAACCCAAAAAATAAGAACTGAATCGACTGTTTGTGAAAATACTGATACATTTTGCCTTTCACAAGACTTAGTATACGCCTTCTTATTTTTTGCACGAAGTGGAAGTTTTAAGGTTTCACTTGCCTCTGCATGGGCCTTATTTTCTCTAGTTGTTGACGCAGAAAGTTGTCAAGAACTACAGGGGCTTACAAATAAATATGGTCATCAAATTTTTAATTTTGTTTGAAGAGGGTTATAGAACATACGTAACAGACACACAATAAACTAAAAAGTGCAAATATGAGCAACAAATACGAAGTTAACCACTTGCTGTCTGGGTTGCTGGTACCGGAACCGTATTCTTTATACATGGGACAATGAAACATTTGGATTTTTCTAGACGAATTTGAAGTTAACCGTTTATGATTTTGAACAGAAAAGTTTGACAATGTGCGTAAACCGTAAACACTTGGAGTCCTGATTACGAAATTGAATAGTCAAGGTCTGTCAAATCGATAATCTGCTTATTTTAAGGAGAAAAGAGAGTTTCATTTCAATCACCTCTGAAGGATTAATGCTAAAAAAATTAATGCAAAGGCAATTACTTATTATCTGTCTGTTTGCTTTTGTAAGGGCTTGTTTTCTTAACAGATTTTATTTACGCTTCACAGCCTGTAACCGAATGGACGGCTTTATCGAATCTATATCATATATCATTTTTTAATTTTGTTTCACAATTTACAGGATGCCGGATGCCAGGTGGAGTAGACTCTCCCCAATCCTTCTGGGATGTCTTAATCAAGCAGAAGGATATGGTCAGCGAAGTACCTGCTGACCGCTGGTCTTTGGACTCCTTTCATGACCCTGACCAGTCCAACCACAGCAAGATGGTGACACGCCGCGGCGGCTTTGTGCATGACATAGACAAGTTCGACAACACCTTCTTCAAGATTTCGCCCCGAGAGGCAAGCTCCATGGACCCCCAGCAGCGCCACATCCTTGAGGTCACTTATGAGGCTTTCCAGGATGCTGGTATCATCCCGACTGATCTCGGAGAATCCTGTGGCGTCTATATCGGCGTGGGAATGATGGACTATGCGGTGATGCTCACAGAAACCTCTCTGATTGGTCCCTACATGCACACGGGAACAGCCCACTCTTCTGTAGCCAATAGGATCTCCTATGTGTTTGACCTGCGTGGACCTTCCTTCGCTGTCGAGACAGCATGTGCTTCATCCATAACAGCAATGCATTTGGCCTGTGATGCTATTTGGAATGGCGAATGCACCCATGCAGTTGCTGGAGGCTGCAATGCCCTGCTCATCCCAGAGACCACTGTGGGGTTCAGCGCTCTCGGTGTTCTGTCCGCCGAGGGCAAATGTTGCCCTTTCTCCGACGGTGTGAATGGCTACGTCCGTAGTGAGGGCTTTGGTGCATTCATTCTAAAAACTCTGGATGCAGCAGTAGCTGAAAACGATCACATCTATGCCGTTATCAGTGGTAGCTCCATTGCAGCCAATGGCTCCTGCAAGAGTTTGACCATGCCCTCGGGCCCAGCACAGGAGATGGTGATGAGAAATGCATATGAACGTTTTGGCATTCCTACCTCCTCAGTGCATTATGTTGAGGCTCACGGCACAGGAACACCCGTGGGTGATCCCATCGAAGCGGAGGCTATCGGACGTATCTTCGGTACCCAAGACAAAACCCCTGTCAAAATCGGATCGGTGAAGAGCAATTTTGGGCACAACGAGTGCGCAGCAGGTATCACTTCCTCCATCAAAGTAGCTCTGATGTTGGACAAGAAAACTCTAGCACCAACCATCAACCACCACAAACCAAATCCAAATATAGACCTCAAAGGTCTTAATCTCGAAGTACAGACAACGACTGAATCAATTAAAGACGACGAAGGTCTGTACACAATTGGTCTTAACAGTTTTGGATTCTCTGGAGCAGTAGCCCATATGATCTTCCAAGAGGCACCACAGCGTCAAAAGAAGTCGGAGACTCCCAAAGCTAACTGGAAGTTTGGAGATGCCGATCAAGTTGGGAGGCCGATCATCCTTCCCCTCTCTGCTAAGTCCAAAGATGCCCTTAACGACCTGGCACAGAAATGGCTGGAGTTTGAATGTGACAATGATGCACTCGGTGTTGTTTCTTGGCAAGCATCACGAAGAGATCAGCACCCGTACCGCCTGGCTGTCATTGCTAATTCGGGAGCTTCCTGCAGACAGAGTCTTGAGAGATTCCTTCAAGGCGCAGTGTCAGAGAAAGTGATATCTGGAACAGCTCCTCAAGCCAAGCCTAAGATTTGCTTCGTCTTCCCTGGACAAGGACAACAGTGGGTAGACATGGGCCGTAAACTGTACAGAGCTGACAGTGTATTCAAGGAGAGTATTGACAGATGTGACTCCGTTTACCGGAAGATATCAGGGTGGTCTTTGCTTGAGACATGCAGCTTGTTCAACGGCAACACTATCGATCCCAAAACCTCCCCATACTCATCCGTTGACGACGCACTTAATCAAGTAGAAGTCGTTCAGCCAGCCATCACCTTCATCCAGGTTGCATTGCTTCATCTGTGGAAGCACCTGGGGGTTTATCCAGATGTCGTTGTAGGCCACAGTGTTGGGGAAATAGCAGCAGCTTATGCCTGTGGAGGACTGACGCTAGAGGAGGCAATATCTGTGATCTACCACCGAAGTCACGAGCAAGCAAAGCAGAAAGGAACTGGGAGGATGGCAGCACTGAGAGCTACTAAGGAACAAGCTGAAGAAATATGCAAAGAACATGAGCATCTGTACATAGCAGCCGTCAACGCACCTGGGTCCATGACACTTGCAGGGAACACTGACATCATAGCAGAAGTGGTTCAGAACAATCCTGGAAAGGCCAAACAACTGCGAGTCACATGTGCTTTCCACACTCCTGAGATGGATCCAATCAAGGAGCCATTCATGGCAGCCATGAAAGGCGTAGTCAACAGTGAAAGTGGCAAGCGTGACGTACCCTACTACTCAACTGTCACGGGTGCATACTACGCTGGAAGTTTTGGCACTGACTACTGGTGGAGCAACATCAGGAGTGCTGTGCTCTTCCAGCCTGCTATCGAGGCTGTTCTGCAGGAGACCAAGGCAGACATCTTCCTGGAGATTGCAGCTTCCAACACTCTTCTGACACCCATCAAGCAGATTGCTCATGCCCTCGACCCAAAGAATCCACCTGTCATCATCAATTCCAGTCTCCGAGACAAGGACGATCTACTGAACATGCAGCGAGCAGTTGCATCTATATACGTGAATGGTAGCCATCTTGACTGGTGCAAGATAACAGACAATGCAGCAGAGTGGGCTCCAGTTCCAACTTATCCCTGGCAACACCAGTCCTTTTGGCTAGAAACAGACCAGAGGCAAAAACGTCGCCTTGGTTTGGATGATCGTACCATCAAAGGCCAGAACGGCAAATTCACACTGGATATGTTCCCCTTCCTGGCTGACCATGTAGTTGGGAACCGCATTGTCTTTCCAGGTGCCGGCTATGTCGAGTTCATGATTCAAATGGGATTTTCCCAGACAGAGCAACCAGCTTTTAAGAACATAAACTTTACACGTGTCCTCCCTTGGCCTGAGGACACTGACCCCAAAAAGTGTACCCTCAAACTTGGGCTGGTGAAAGATGGAGCAAAAATGCACGTTACCTGTGAGGGAAATCAGCACAGCGATGCCCAGATGGAGTCTTTGTCAAGTAAGACTTCGGAAACCTGCCTCCCACTGAGGGAAATCCAAGCCAGATGTACCACTGAGGTCGGCAGTGAACTGTTCTACTCAAGGTTGGCAGCCGTTGGACTCAAATATGGCCCTGCATTCCAGCCAGTGGAGAAGATGTTTCTCGGAGATGGTGAGGCATTAGCCATCTTGAATCCGGTGGCAGACAACAAACAAAGGATCCAAATTGCTCACTTTGACGCCACTTTCCAACTTGTCCTTTCCGCTGTGGGCCCATTCAGTGCTATGTATCTTCCAGTACGGATCGACTCCTTACAGATGACAACTGAGACTATCCCATCTGGTGAAAAGATTCTCGCCTACACCAAGATCCATGAGTACGACAGCACTTATATCGGAGCAGATATTGCCATGCTCACGCTTGATGGACAACTGTTGGTCGACGTGAAAGGTTTCCTGGCCCAGAACTTCAGTGGCAACAAATCAGATGTTCCTATCGAGTCATGTGTTTACACGACTCAATGGCAGCCTGCCTCAGCACACACACTGCCAACATCGGTACTTTCTGAGGCCATGGAGGAATCAAACCTGCAGAAAATCTGCCCTGATGAGATGGACGGTCTCCTGAGGGCTACAGAAGTCCTTAAGGATCTTGAAGGAGTGTGTGTATCTTACGTCCAAAATGCCCTGGCTAAAGTTCCATCTCGGGAGATAGATGAAAATGTCGCCAAATACATCACAAGAATCAAGTCCATTCTGGCAAACACTAAGACGAAGCCCGTCCCCTACCGCGACATTCCAGAGGTCCTCAGAAACGTCCTCAACATGGCACCAGAGCTGAATGCTGAGGTTAATTTGGTGAAGCGTTTTGGAGACACGTTGCCCGACACACTAAAAGATCCACAAGTAGGACTGTCTGTCTTGTACCCAGAAGAAGCATTAGACAAGTACTTTCACGAGTCACTTAGCGCCACACTGTACTACAAGGCCACATCCCAAGCTGTTGTCAAATCCATACGTGAGGCTGTCAAACACAAGACAGTTGTAAGGGTGCTTGAGTTAGGGGGTCAAAGTGGAAGCCTGACACGGATGATTGTTGAACCTCTGAAGGACATGGGTCTCACCGAGCAGCTGGAGTATGTCTTCACAGATGGCAACAAGAAATTGCTTCAGCAGGTTCAGGACAATCTGAGTGAGTTCTCCTTCATAGAGTATAAGCAGTTGGACATCAAGAAGAATGCTAAAGAGCAAGACTTTGTTGCCAATAGCTTTGACCTTGCCATTTGTGTCAATGCATTGCATGCTACCAACAATATTCATCAGAGTGCTTCAAACGTAAGAAACCTTGTAAGTCCAGATGGCTTGATGTTCATCCTTGAGAACACCAGCATGCACATCTTGGCTGATTTCTTCTCTTTGGCTGCTGAGGAAGCGCATCTCCTCTCAAGACAAGGCTGGGTTGATACCCTAGTTAGTGTTGGGCTTCAGGATGTTAAATCTGCTTCTACCTCACAAGAGTTCTTCTACAGTGTGTTTGTAGGTCGCAAGCCAGCAGTGTCTCCTCAAGTGAAAAAAGCTGACAACAAACTCCTCATTATTCAAAATGACAATAGTCAGTTCACAAAAAAGTTTCTCCAAAGTTACAAAGGAAAGCCAGAGATTTGCAAGTTCTCTACGGTCACATCTTTCAGTCATGTCATTAGTGAGCATACAACAGCTCCAGCCGAGGTGATGTACATCTACAGTGATGAGGATTCCAAGCTTTATGCTCTCCTGAGACTCTTCCAGGCAGTGGAGTCATACCCTGAGGCTGTCAAGCGTGTCTGGGTTCTAACAACAGGTGGCAACAATGGCTCACAAAATCCACAGGCCTCCTTAGCTGTTGGTCTAGCTAGGGCTGTCAGCAATCAGGTTCCAACGGTTCCAATATTCGCCATTGATTTTGACCCCTCTTCTACAGTTGATGAGAATGTACATGAGTTGCTGAGCTTGATGAATGACGATGAACCCGGTGAGCAAGAGATTATCATCAGGGGAGGGGAAAAACATGTGCCTCGTCTTATCCATCAAGATCTTCATCAAGTCAGCAAAGTACAGTCTAAGACGTGGCGTGTGGAGCAAGATCTCAAAGGTCCAAGGAGCAACAATGCCTCCATTGATGATCTTGCTTTCCATGATGTTCCTGATCTAGAAATTCCTTCAGGTCATGTCAAGATTGCTGTTAAGGCAGCTCCGCTAAATTTCAAAGATGTGATGATGGCACTTGGTCTCCTTGAGGGACTAGAAAGTGATGTGCATCCATCCTTTGGTCTGGAGTGTGCTGGCAAGGTCGTTGAGGTCGGAAGTGAGGTGACTGACCTGAAAGTCAATGATAATGTCATGGCTTTTGGAAAGAACTGTTTTGCATCTCATACAGTCTGTGATTCCCGACTGACTGTCCACAAGCCAGAGAATTTAAGCTGGGTGGACAGTTCGAGTGTTGGAGTCATTTTTGCAACAGCATACCTTAGTTTGGTAGATCGAGCCAACTTGAAGAAGGGTGAGACAGTCTTGATCCATTCAGCCTGTGGTGGTGTTGGCCTGGCAGCAATTCAGATTGCCCGCATGAGAGGAGCTACGATTATCTGCACAGCGGGTACTGAAACGAAACGGTCCTACCTTCGTAACGAACTTGGCATGCACTTCGTCAGTGACTCTCGCTCCTCAAAATTCTATGATGATGTCATGGAGTGGACAGATGGCAAGGGAGTGAATGTTGTCCTTAATTCTCTGTCAGGAAAGCTGTTACAGACGGGTCTTTCACTACTGAGTCCTGGAGGCAGATTCTGCGAAATTGGAAAAAGGGACATCCTACAGAGCTCTAGTCTTCCCATGAATTTCTTCCTGGAAAACAAGGTATTCCACTCCTGTCAGCTTGACATCTTGATGAAACAGCGTCCAGAAGAGGTTCAGTGTGTCATGAGAAAGGTTGTCTCACTGTTTGAAGATAAAACTCTGCAACCCATTCCAACTAGCGTGTACTCTATCGAAAACCTGAAGGAAACCTTCCGGGTCATGTCCAAAGGATCTCACATCGGCAAAATTGTCTTTGAGGTGCCTGAAAATTTCCAGCCAAAGGATGTACAACCTTCTCTCTGCCAGTTCAAGTCAAACGCAACTTACATTGTCACTGGAGGGTATGGAGGAATTGGACAAGCCCTCTCCAGGTGGCTGTGTCTGAATGGAGCAAAGCATATTGCCCTCGTATCTAGAAGAGGAGCAACGACAGCAGCGGCAAAGCGGACACTGAACTTCCTGAAGAAAAACAAAGTCAATATCTATGAGTTTCCTCTGGACATCTCAAACAAAGCCGGTGTACAGGATCTACTGAGAACACTACGACAAAATAAGACAACTCCACCAGTTAAGGGAATCTTTCATCTTGCTGGAGTCATTGATGAAGAGAGCCTCTCTGAGGTAACTCCAAACCAGATGGATCGTATCCTTGGAGCCAAGGCCCTTGGAGCTCAACACTTGAGCGAGCTGACTCAAGATGACAACCTGGAAATCTTCTTCATGCTGTCCTCAATCTCCACAACCTGGGGCCACCAAGCACAGCCCTGCTACTGTGCAGCTAACGCCTACCTTGATGCTCTGGCTGAGAGCAGACACAGCAGAGGACTGCCAGCTCTCTCCGTGCAGCTGGCACCAGTCAAAGGAGCTGGGTACCTGGAGGACAAGGGACAAACAGTGAAAGTCCTGGCCATGAAGGGATGCTACCAACTACATGTGGATGAATTCCTGCAGGTGCTTAGTCAGCTGCTGCCAAGGCGAGATCTCCCAGTTGTAACATTTGCAAATCAGGTATGTGGATAGTCCAGTGATGAATCTTTCAATACGCCAAAGAGACATTTTGACATCAACAGCATGACACCAATGTCATAAAATTCATGAACATCCAGTGTTTCAAACAGCTGAGTTTTATCATCACAAAGTAAATTTTTGCTAAGATATTCCACTTTATCTTTAACTCTCAAGAGCACTGTTTTACGGCCAGCAGCAAAGCCGATCTTGAGAGACCTTCTGTTTCCACTACAGTGAACAACTGTCATATATAAAGTTTGTTTGATTTCTTAAATTACAGGACTGGGGAATAACACAGACCACCTGCCACAAGTCCACGTTGAAATTCCATCACCTGGCAACAAGGAGCAAAGGCACAGCAACCAAGGGAGAAACCCAGCAAATGGAACTAGCTGACTTGGAAACCAGCATCAAATCCAAGATGGCCGAGCTCCTGTGTATGTCAGAGGAAGCCATCGACATCAGCCAGCCCATGGTTAACTATGGAGTGGACTCCTTGGTCGCCTTGGAGATTGCCAACTGGGCAACGCATCAACTTGGAGTAGAGATCTCCCAGCTGGACATCCTGGGTGGCATGACGACAGTGGAGCTGATTGATAAGGCCACTGAAGCTAACTAGGTATTCTATCACACAGACACTTGACTGCTGATTCTGAACGAGGCCACAAATCTTTAACTGTATTTATCAAGTTATGAATTGTGCATCAAAATTTATCAAACTTCAACTACTGAAAAAAAAGACTTTTTTTTTTACGGGCCAAAATGTCCTACATGATACATTAACCCTGACCCCCTACGGCATTTTTGCTAGCTACCCTCCTCAATCCTCCAGAAACCTCCAAATGGGGGGGGTGAAAAAAATGGATTGTCCCTCAATCCTCCAAAATTTCTTAGAAATGTTACCTGGAGATATGCCTACTGCCTCAATCCTTCAAAATCCTCTGGCAATTCCTGTCATTATGTTGAGGCAGTGCGAATGGCATTCTTGAGCATTGCAAATGATTCAAAGAAATATCGGGCTGAACTTATGCATTACTGAGCAAGAAAAACACACATGGCATCCTTCGCAATAAGCCAAGCACTTTTGCCGTTCACCCTCAATCCTCCAAAATCCTCCAAAACCACATGAAGATTTATGGAGGATTGAGGAGGGGTTAGGGTTAATTACTTAAGGTTAGTTACTTAAGGTTAATCTGTGTGTAAAATTTCAACTTCAATCTTTAAAAATAAATCTGGAAAGCAAACAAACATGGTTCAAATTGCACTGCTGCCGAATATAATTTGTTGGATTGAATTACTCTAATCATTTTATGGTTAAAAAGCAAATTAATATATATCTGTCTTTGCTGTTAATGTGTTTTATGTGTTATACAAGGGATTAGCCCTTTTAGATATTGGACGGCTTCATTAAGAGCTATACGAATTTCATGACAGGTGTTTTGTACCAACATTATTTGCGTATTAAAGGTACTGAAAGATGCCATTGAAAGGGACAAACAATTGCCAAGGATTTTTGTGAAGAGTTAAGTTGTGTGTCAATAAAGTACTTAAGACTCATTGTAAGACTTGAAAACATTCCTCAAACTTGGTTGATGATCCTGGTATCAAAAATTTGAAATTGAATCCCTTTTGGGGATTAATTTATTTTAACACAGTTGATAACAAAAGGAACTGAATCCAAAACTTCATTACTATTATGGAACTGAACAATAGTATATGTCACCGAAAATGACTGAGAAGTCTTTTATACACTAATTACAGTATTTGTGTGATTTAGTTAAAAGCCTGTTTTGTACTTTGATGGTTATGAGGGACAAATAATATGGTTGGTGTAGAGTGGATGTGTTGCGTTGTTGATATATTGGTGCCCAGAGCTTTCATTAGTCATTTCAGAAATAGTGTATTTGTAGTTTTCATGTAGATGTCAATGAACGTCAAAGGCAGAATGATTTGCAAGTTCAAAACATTTTACTTTCAAAAAGTTAATACCAATATACGTGTACATGTACAGTGTAATTGTTACAGTCATTTGCAACAGAACGAGACAGCCTGAAGTCTCTGATCTCTAAAATCAAAGTCATTTTGAGAAACATGTTGTAAAGGCTACAATTATCAAATTGTTTAATACTAAATAAATATACTTGGCCAGTCTTAACCATTCATTTAGGATCAGATCAGGAGAATGGATGATTATAATTCCCAGGCTGAAAGTGAGGGACTGTATCAGCATCTTTCCTCCGGAACCATTCTTAAATGAATGTTTACAAGTGGCCAAGCACTTATTTATTTCCATTCATAAATACCTTTAAAGTCACGAAGTCAAACCAAGTTCAAAAGATTTCAAAAGACTATTTTGTCCCCATAATTCTTTAAACACCTCTCTAGCCATGTAATGGTTTGTCCTTCTCACAAGTAGTCATATAACAATCTCCTTACATGGTAATTGGTGTGCGAATGGCTCATAATGCGCAAGGTGGGGCAATTGCCAGCTGGTGCTTTACAGACTGTTTAAGAGAGGTCACATGCTGTGCTCTTGACCAAAAGGAACGGCTAAACTCTCTCTGGTATTTATGGAACCACATGCTCCCCTAAGCTCTTTTGCTATACTTAGCTTTGTATAAGTGTCACTGCTTAATTAACTTTTAAAATCAAGCACCTTCCATTCATCAAAGACTAATTCCCTAAGTCTGAACTTAATACATGTGTATTGTTAAATTCAAGAATTTTTTTGTGTGTGCTGTGGTGGTTTAAAGAGAATCCTACAGTAGAGTGGTTCAAACAGTTGCAGTATTCAAGCATATGTAGCAAGCTTATTTTCAGCTTTATAAAATGGACATGAATGACAACAAATTATTGTGTCAGGAACCATTTTACAGATTAGTGATCAAATCTTTTAAAGTTACTTTATGCTAAAAAAGACACCTTTATTTGATAATTTGTTCACACAAACAGAACATAAAAAGTAAGATGTGTCCACAGTGATCAAATGTGTCCTATTTATACACTGATGATGTAATTACTGTAATTGTGAACGAGAGATATTTTTATCTTTCATGTTGACATTGTATTCCAACGGTCACCAGAAATTTGTGTTGCTGAATAGTTTCAGTACTCGAGACCAATGACAGATGTACACATCTTGAAGGTTTCAACCGTTCACAGGTACTTGTGTAATAATACCGGTATATTCCACTCAGAAATAATGTGTAAATTTACGCCCAGTGTACCAGAGGATTTCTCAAGTTTTGAGTGAAGTTGAGATACAATACCAATAAAAGCACTTTAGTTGATGTACTTACTTTTCTTTTACATAGTTACTGAGTTTTGCAAAGCCTATGAAAATAGGAGACCACCAAAAGAACAAATTCTGTAGAAATGCACTTTTACTTCAGCTTTCGATTGAAAGGTGTTGTTTGGAAACTGACGCAATCTGAAAATTTCTTGGAAATAGTCTTGTTAATTCAAGAAATGGAAAAGTGGGTTCACTTCAAATTACGTTCCTTGTAACACGACTGCCGCATGTGCACAGATCTTGTGTCAGTAACAATCAATGGTCACGAGACTTCTAAGGAGTGGACAAAGGTAAAGAGTGATGCATGCAGGTGTTTAGTGGCTCATGAGACACAAGTTCTCCGATACCTACTCATGAAGCCTCCTAATATCAAACCTGTATGTCTTAAGCTAGGATGGATCCTTTCTGTGCATTTACAACACGTGGGCGCTCTTCGTGTAAAGCCATAGACTTAAGCATTCTGTGCTTGATTTACCAACTACAAGCTCACTTGCAATCATATGCAAACCAAAAATCAGAGACTAAAAACGAGTTAAAATCACCACCTTTACTTTCCTAGAGATGATTTGTTGGCAGAGATGCAATTTCAATGCATTTTTAATAGTTCAAGCAGGGTTGTAGTTGAGACCACTTAAGACCTTCACACGATCCACACAAGAACAGCACAAGACCTCCACTCTGAATTCCAGTTACACTCTATTCAAATGAACTGAAGCAAAAAGCATTTCTTTTGTCATTGTTCACCCTGTTACTTCTGACTGGTCTTATGCATGGTCTTGTGTCTGGTCTTGTGTCTGGTCTCGTGATGGTCTTGTGTCTGGTCTCGTGATGGTCTTGTGTCTGGTCTTGTGACGGTCTCAACTACAACACTGTATTCAAGGCCAGTCAATTAATCGGATCTTCATCAGCGACATCAATGCTCAAAAGAAATGAAGCACGACACACCTGGAAGGGAAGATGATGACAGGTGGGCCCTTCAGGTCATCTGTCTTGGCTGGTGGAAGCTGCCTGCTCTCCTATCTTCTGCTTCTTCTTCTGCCGGATTGCATCTAAGGTCTCCTCAACTGATCTCTTGTCCATCTTGTTCTCACTGGGAACTGTCAAAAATGAATGGATAAATTGTAACAATAATTGTAACAATATAACCCATACTGATCTAAACTGACAAAATCTTTTAGTTCATTAAGGGTGGGAATTTATATTTAATTTCAAAAATGTTTAGCAAACTTTCCCATACCGTTTAAACGTTTAGCCAACACTTTACAGAGGCCGTCGCCGCTGCCTACCTCAGTGTTTTCATATATATGCATAATTACATAGTTCAACATGCACATGGTTCAACACCTACGTAAAAATGTAGACTAATGTTGGGGCATTTAAAACAAGCAATGTTTGTTTCAGAATCCACTTTTTTTCTCCAAAAGTACATGGATGAGGAAAGGAAAAAATAGTACGAAACAGGCATCATTTACGATAAAAATGAACACCAAATTGCGTCCATCCAAACATCAAACCTCTAAAAGGGAAATTCCATTTAAAGATTGGGGAAATCTGTAAACGGATTTAGAACTTTTGTTTAAACGTTTAAACGATTAAGTTGCATACAGACCTTATTCACTGCTCAGCAACGAAATTATACGAAACCAAAATGCTGAAGATTCTATTTCTTTGAAGCAAATCCACAGTGCATTTAAAAAGGCGAAATGAAGGGAAAATGTATTGCCGCTGTAATAAACATCACCTGATGCAAACTTTCGCTGCTTTTTTCTTTTGGTTTTCAGAAGGAAAAATAGCAATTAAAAAGTCTTGTATAGAGGATGCTAACCGTTTCCAAACTGCTTGTTGGGTGTGAGGTTCTTGGCAGCGTCTTTAGCACTCTCCTCACCGATGATACTCTTGTATTTATCCCTGTAGTTTGAGGCAGGGGTGAACACATGAGGATTGCTGGCCTGGTGACGCCTCTGGTCTTCTTCTGCTAACAACTGAAATTTGTCCGGAGGAGTTACATGTAATTGGAATGTTGAGGGGAATAAAGTTGGAGGATAAGTGCTGTGTGGTCAATCAAAAGGAATTTTCATTTCGGTTTCCATTCTTGAGGCAACCATACAAAATGGTCATGTTCTTTTATTTGAGAGTGGACATAAGGTCCTATGCAGCCTAAGACATAATAGCATACTACTACTATAGACGGTATAAATCTCTTTCATTCCGCGCCAATAGCTTACAACGTCTGACATATCGTCAGATATGTCTTAGGCTGAGTAGGACATTGTGTCCACTCTCAAATGAACAAAGGGAATTTTCATTCTGATTTGAATCCTTCAGGCACTCATACAAAATGTCCATGTTTTATTGGGAGAATTTTACAGGTTCAAAAGCACTTCAGATAAAATTCTTCACGTTAAATAACGTGAGCAAGTTTCCAGGAAGTTTAAAATATCATCGCTGAAAAAAATTTACAATCTCTGTACCATCTACTACAAGACACATTCAAAGAAAATTCAAGGTGTATTGGAGTGTTAGTATGAAAATGGAACACAATATGACATTAATCTTATAGGAAAAAAAGCAACAATGCCTCGGTCATCACCTTTTGTTTGGCAAGTTCTTTTGCTTTCTCTGCATCCCACGTCTCTCCTCGCCGATAAGCATCAAGTTCATCATCTGTTGGAGCAAACTCCTGCACAATAACATTAATAACTTTGAATCTTACAATTTCGTAACCGTATCCGACAGAAAGAAAAGAGACAATACCAATTACCCTATTTTTAGGTCAGTAACCAATCAAAATGCAAGCATTATGCTAAGTTGCTAACCATCTTTACTCTGTGTATTACTCTTACAAAACAAAAAACAAAGCTGGGAGGTACAAAAGTTACCTTTTTAAAAAGAATGATGAACCTATTGTCATCCATTTCACCAAAGGAAAAAGATGTGAGGCCTGCTACTTCTGCCACATCGTGCCTGCAGGACAGAAATAAATCTCAGGTCAAAAATCTTAACTGTTCAGCTTCAGCTCTAGTCATTTTACTTCCATAACACTTAGAACAACTGACATAAAAGCAGCTAATTGCTAGTCTGACATATGCCACTGACATAGAGGTTTTTGAGCCAATGCCTTTGCATTTTCGTAAGGGCTAAACAGCCAGAAACAATCTCTTTTCCATGTCAAACATTTAACCTCAACCTGCTTTACATTAAAGATTCTCCAAATACAACAGCACTAACACAATAGATCTATATATTCTCTCCATGGGTTCATATCGAAGTCTTGTCCGGCTGCTGTCATTGATGAACTCGTTGACTTCTTTTTCAATCCTCTCCCTGAACTCGTTTTTCTTCTTCTTTTCTTCTGTTTGTAGTTTCTCTAAGCGTTTCTTCCTCTCTGCAAAACAAGTCGCAGAATTAATTGCTGTAATGAAAGTGTGCATTTTAAGTTGGGTGCACCTTTGGGATCTACCAATGTACACTTAGTCAACTGTACACATGGTACAGCCACAATGGTCAATCAATAACGATGATCGTGTTTTTCGAAAGGGAAGTTGGGGTGTGGGGGGTGTAAGGGAGGTTATAGGATGAGAGGAAGGGGGAAGGGTAGTACACAAACCAAGCACAGTCCAACCAACGGTGGCCAGGGCAAACAAACGTGACGGGCACTGTGACTCGAACGTCTGTTCATCCAGCCCTAGATTTGACAATTGACAAATAAATAATTTGGAATAAGGCCTAAGTGATAAAAATATGCTTTAAAAAATGTAAACTGAATTGTCTATCAAAGTTAGGCCTAAGTAAGTGACAGTGATATAGGCTAAATAGATAAAAGAAAAAATTAAAAATTACTGCATTAAAACAGATATTAACCCTAACCCTCCTCAATCCTTCATTTGTTGGAGGACTGAGGAGTGTTAGGGTTAAATAGGATGTAAGTCCTACTAGACTAAAATGAGTTGCACAATAGATACATGACATTGTAAACAATGCGACTTTGGAGTTTGGCACATGCACACTGGACCGCTGTGCTGTAGTCGTTGGACCGGCCCAACTACTGTATAGCACTACAGTTGGGACAGTCCCAACTACGTGTAGAACTTGACTGACGCTATCGTAGGCCTAGGCTAGGCATGTATGCTGTTGTTTCCTACCCTGCGCCTGCTTTTTCTCCTTGTCCCCAACCGAAGGAGGCTTCTCCATGGATCCCAAAATACTGCCGAGTAAATCTGCCATTTTTCTTTGTCTTTTAGATCATCCGCTGCTGCACTGCTACGCTTGTTAATAACCAAGATAATAAAACGTCAAAACTTCAAATTCAATTCAGCACAGACATCGTCAACCTGTACCTTTGAACCAAAGCGCAATCTTTGCGCTATGATTCTATGAACTAAGTTTCCGAATTATTTTGAAACAAGGATTCAAATCAAAATATCAATATTATTAACGGCCTATACAATTGTATTTATTCGTTAAGTGCCTCTACATAATTTATTTTTGGCAGAATTATGCAGTAAAAGACTAAAAGAATGGTTGTTTATAATTGCTGTAAAGAAATTATAATTATTGTCTGAGCCGAAAATTATTTTGTCAATAGTCTGGCACCGTTCCCACCTGTACATGTAATCAGTATTTCGGAGAAAGGGAAGTCAGACGTCTAGACAGACAAGATCCATCGCGTTTGTGAATGTCCCGGACTTGTAATTCCCGTTCTCAAAATCAGCTATTATGGCAACATCGGGTGTTGCTGCCTTGCCAAATCAAGATGAGATTGAGGAAGATGCGTCTGAACTGAAATTCCCAAAAGGTTTGACGAAGTTACCATTTGTTTGAATCGTTTAAATAGAGGAGTTGCCAGAACATGTGTAGGGCCTATGTGTGCATGGTATGCGTGAACTCACCCGTGCTTATTTTAGATAGTGTGTACTATTATCCGTGTATTTTCGACACTATGACATGACAAACGGGTTTAAAGTTTAAAGTTAAGTTTAAAGCTCATCTCTGGAACTGTGGAAGGGAAAGAGTTCCATATGGACACCTGTAATTATTCCCTACAGTGACCTGCTAGCTGTCAGAAAGCAAAAACATGTCCAGAAAAAATCAGTTTAGGAGAGAAAACACCAAGTCATTTTCTTAGAATTTTTAAGACAAGTCTCATACTTTCATAGGGTTTGTGCACAGGGTGTCAAACAGCATCCGTATGTGGAACTCTTTCCGTTAGTCGTGCTAATTTATTAAATATGTTCATGAATCTACAATCAGATGATTTGTTCATGCTGTAAATGCATTGTAGGCCTAGGCTTCATTTGATTCAGTGTTCAAATGTAAGATTCAGATGTAGCGCATGTCAAACTGTGTGTACCTTCCCAAATGGCAGAAAGGTTTTTTAACCATCATTGTAACATGACTAAATCCTCTGATTCAAAAATATGATTTTCACATATTCTTGGGAAATAGGGTTAACAATTTGTTCTGTAATCTGTATCTGACCATATTGTAAATTCCTATGATATGCTCCTACAGCTGTCGCTGTTTGTAATTTTATGTTAGCCTAGCCCACTTGTAGCTTTTGCATCCTCATATTTTCCAGAGTTTGAACAAGCAGAAACGTTATTGAACTCTGAGGTACGCATGCTCCTTGAGCATCGGAAGCAACAAAATGAGAGCCAAGAGGAGGAACAGGAGCTCAGCGAAGTCTTCATGAAGACCCTGAATTACACGGAGCGCTTCTCAAGATTCAAAAATAGGGAGACAATAGCTGATGTCCGAGGGTGAGAGGTTGATTTCACAAAACTTGCTTAAAGAATATAAGGGTCAAACAAGCTTCCAAGATCCTTAGAAATCCACCTATTGTTTCAGTGGATTTAGGTGGATTGAGGAATGTGCAGCCTGATAAACTCCATTTACGGTACTTCAAGTCTGGTGTGATGGCCTGTAAAAGTTTTGATGTTAAAAATATGCCATTGGTTTCTTGTAAAATGGGTAGTTTGGGAGTATTCAGAAGGGTTTTTGGTAAAATGCCCAGAGGATGAGGGGTTTACTTATTGTAAATGCATTTAGTGAAGTACTGGTGTTTAATTGTGCTTTTCTGTTTTGAATTTGCAGGCTCTTGCAGCAGCAGAAATTGCACAAGTTTGAGCTGGCCTCCTTAGCCAACCTGTGCCCTGAGAATGCAGAAGAAGCCAAGGCACTAACCCCAAGGTACACCTGTCTTATTGGTTGTACTTGTTTCAAACATAGGTGAAACCCCTTGTTAAAGAAATTGCTGTCCGCTGCATCAGTAACATTCAATCAACATAAAACAGTTTTAGTGAACTCATTCCAAATGTTCAAAGTCAGGTTTTTGCTTCTGCTTCTTTGTTTTATTTGCTTTCCTAAAACAAACTAATTCTGTAACTTAAAACTAATCCATGAAGAACACACTTTTCCCCCTTCTAATAATGAAGTGGTTGGTTTTTTGGCATGCCATCTCTTCGGTTATATTTCATCAGTCCTGAGAAGTTGGAGTTAACCATTTGTGGGATGTTGTTTATTAGTCTACCTTGTTTCTTTTCCTCTTTCAGCCTTGAAGGGAGATTTGAAGATGACGAGCTGCAGGAGGTCTTGGACAACATTCAGACCAAGAGGAGCTTTCAGTATTGATACCATCTCATTCCACTATGCCCAAATTACAACGAAGTACGTGTACATGTACTTACAACTGAAGCCAAAAAAAAACCTCCAAAAGAATCAAAGCATTAGTGGGAGGAGGCTTCAGCGATCCCCTTTTTTTTTCTATTTGATATTCATTTATATGCTAACCTTTAATCTTTTCTCCATTCGCTTGTGTATACATTATTTATGGAAGCTTTTTGGAGGACGAATAGGTTCTAGTGTGGGAGATGTTATCAGAAGTGTTTGTAAATATCTAACCAGAAAGCAGTAGGTTTTGTTGGAAAGAAACATGAAATTTTTCTGTGTGTATATAATAAACAGTTTCGGGTAAATGAGTTTTCAGTGTGTTATATCTGTGTTTCTCAGTTTTGTTTAAAAAGGTATAGAAACCTAAGGCCCGCAATTGAAATAAAATTAATAGTATTATTAAAGATGGGCGTCCTGAAACACCATAATGCTAGAAAAAGTTCCTGTCAACTTTCTGTGATGGATATCTGACCTTATGAGTAATGCCCTTTCCTTTTCCTGTAAGCTGGCGTATTTTGAAAATGTGACAGGTCATGAGTAAAGTCATCAAGACATCCTACGTATTTCAAAGACAGCACATCGTGAAGGTAACCGTTTATTGCTTCTAAACTGTAACACGTCTTTAGTCATTCTGCCGGACATTACATCTCACACACAAATCAAACAAAGTAAACGGTGCCACTTACTTATTAGAGTAGAGGACCATTTCTTCAAATTTGCATCCTCGGTTGAAACATCTGCGAGTGGCTTTTCTTCGCCAGGTGCTTTGTGCGGAAGCAGTTAAAGAAACTTCAGCTGATGTAATTGTTTTCACAAAATACTGCTTCAAAAAGCCGAAATTTCCTTCAAGTTTCATCTTTGGAATTTCTAAATAAAATCGTTTCGCGGTTGCAGATTTCCTTTTCATGCCCTTCAAGAACACACATACATAAATCTTGTATCATTCCTAACGAACGCCACGTTGGTAATGCTTTGCTTATGAGTAGGAATTTTAGAATTTTCTTATTTCAAACACAATACATGTATAAGGATACCTGTAATGATCTTTTTTTGCATTCAAAGCTGTTTACAAAATATAGAAAGTAAAATCACACACGGAAACTACACTTGACTCACCCAGCCTATAGAGTACCGAAGTGTGACGTCACTGTGAACCAGAAAGTGCAGTGCAAATGAATGGAGTACGCGCGTGTTGGTTCACGCACTGGTTCATGCGCTAATGCCTTTTACACACTAATTGTGCGCGTGACGTAGCCACTTCGGTACTCTATAGGGTACATCATAGACTGCAGCAATATTTTCAACACCAAGTACAATTGTAAGCTATATATACACTGACAAAATTTATATGAGATTCAATATACCTAAATAGAATATTCCTACTGTCTTGCTATTTTGTCAACAATATTGCACGAAGTACTATCACGAACAATTTGGAATATTTTCTGGACCTATTAATAACCACCTCAAGTGCCTCATATGGTATTCTCCAAGCCACGTTGGATTTAGATGGCTTGAAAAACTGCTGAACACCTCGGATGGAAACGCCTCATCTCTACAAAAAAAGTCGTGCAGCATGGACGCAAGAGATACAGAACAGGTAGGGCCTATATATTTATTTATGCAGCGAGGATTCGAGCTTATAGTCACATGTACTACGCGTGGGAAAACCCTTATGCATCGGCAATATAGGCAAATGCGCTAAGTCTGAGTTATACTAACCAAATTTTGATTGGGACTTTTTCCAGACGAGCATGGTTGCGTAGTAACAAGGATTTTGTTAGTTATAACTTTGGCTGTCGGGGGTTTGACGAATTTGTACCGCCCCTGCGTTCCACACTCAATGTTCCCGCGCATTATCGGTGGTCAAGCAATTATGTTGTGATTACATGAGGAAAATTGTGCGTCTGCAACCTGTACTCACCTCTTTCTGTAAGTTGTACCATCAGTCACTATACTTTTTTGAAAAACTTGGCAAGGTTTCCCCATGGGGCCAATACCGTTGACATTCATTGCCTGCAGATCTGCTTCGACTGGTTTCATTTGCTGATACAAAATGACAGCTGACAACTGGTTAGGCGTGGCGCCCTCAACTTTCTTACAGCACGTCCCATACAAGCCTTGTTTAATAAAGTCTGAATATATCTACGGTACCCGTTTTCGTCGTGGTTTCGTAATGATTATTAACGTTCCAGGCTCATTTTTTATGCATAATTACATGTGGATTTTTCCTTTGTTATCGTTCATCTATTTCGAAAAATCTCAGAGTGCAATAGAAGAACCTAGACCCCATCAAAACAACATCTCGGATACAAACTTTAAAAACTTAGTCACTTTAAACACAGAATGCGAATTGATACTGACCTCTTCGACTCATCTGGCTTACGACTGTCGAAGTATTATTACCTTATCTCTTGGTATGTCAGGATAATATTTTGGGAATGCAATCAATGGAGGCATGGCGCTCTCTAGTAACATCCGATCATCGACTTTTGGTGATCGATCATTGTGTGAGGCAAGAGGTTAATTCGCACTTTTAACCAATCTAATTTCCACTGTCTTGATAACCCCAGTTTTATGTTATGGGGTTTATTATAATTCATTTCGAATACGCCTCTACTTCCCCTAGTCAGACTCTAAATCGGCAACTGGCTCCCTGTCTTCCTCAGGTTTCGGGACGCTCTTGGCGTGGGCAGGCACCATACTGGTTTCAGTCGGCATCTGAATGGACGTGATATATAAATGGTAAGTTAAACTTGAGAAAGAAGTTTACGCACAGCCCTCTCTTTTGACATTGGTAAGGACAGATTGCACTTAAAAAGTATTTGAATGCATTGTTTCACCTCGACACCCTTGGCGTCCATTATGATTGCCTCTTTCCCTTCAGTTGTTCTCCTACTGACGTCATGGTGTCTAGCTTCAATGCTGCTATTCCATATTCCGTACCCAAAATAGATTATGAGGCCTGAAATGGGAAAAAAATATGACGGCATGTCTCGCTTTCGCAGTTATAATTCACTGACGTTAAGCGTTATAAGGCACAATTTTCTTTTGTCGTGAATTGATAAATCGGCATATTCTTCTCACAATATTATATTCCTGAAGCTTCCGAGGCATAAACTGTCCTTTCAGAATATCGTTTCGTAAAGAACTATTTCTGAGTATGGTTGTAGATTATATGTGTAAAAGAGAATTGAGGAACGAGGTTCAAGTGGTGTCAGCATTTTATAATTATTTCTATCATCATTGTCGAACTGTTATAAAATACTGAGACCCAAATTTACTTCACATTAATGAATCATTAGTTGAGTCGGGAAGGCTTGAAGTCAAGCACACAACTTACCGGCTGCCATCCATATGACGAAACGCACCCACGTGAGTGGTGACAACTTCAGCATCAGAAACACGTTGACAAAGATGGCGCAGAAGGGCAGCAAGGGGACGCAGGGCGCCATGAACGGCAGCTTGTCTGGATTCTGGGGCTGCTGAACAATCTTCAGTATTAAGCCAAACACGCCGGCTAGCACCACCAGGAATATGATGATCAACCACCACTGGCTGAGAAACTGCCGACCGTAGATGATGATGGCGTTGAGGATGAAGAGGGAGAAGAAGAGACCTATCGTTGCCATGGTGACCACGCTGCCAGTGGCGCTGGTGGGGAGCACAGATTTGTCTGGAAGACGGAGGAAGACCCGTAGCCTTTGGTAGCGGTCGTAGAGAAACTCGCGCGCCCGCGACTTGTAGAACTGCCACTTGTTGTAATTCCGGAAGGAATCCGCTTCCGGATCGCCGTCTACGGCTCCGTAGCTGCGGGTGGCGGGATCAAGGCTTGGGAGTTTCGGTAGAAGCTGCTCAGGACCCGCCTCTTCCAAAGTTGGCTTCGTCTCCAATGTCTCCTCCACCGACCCCTCGGTGGTGACGTCATCTTCATCATCCTCGTTCTCGAAGGTGTCATAAGGCAGACCTTCGTTCATACCTCGCTCCAGATCCAAGTGGGGTTGGTAACGGAGAATAAGGACGCACATGGACACCAGGGTGTAAGCTAGGAGTGTACCTATGGACATCATTTCTATCAGGTCCGCCAAGCTCACCATTAGGGCCAAGATAGCGGCCAGAAAACCACCAATGACCGTGGCAACAGCAGGCGTTTGGGTGACTTTGTTAACTCGAGCCAAAAACCTGCCCAAGATATAACAATCAGTTGATGATACGAAACTTTACAGACTACAACAAAAAGGCATTTAACAACACTTAAAATTACCATTTTTGGCAACTTGCCAAAATTTACAAGTTTGGATGAAAATGCGACGTGAAGATCCCACTCTATAATGAATGTATAAAATGTGTCATTACTACGGCAATAAATTGTATCGGTGTCTTCAATACTGCGACCATTTTAGGCGCATTTTTATTTCTTATTAATGGGGCAAAGAACAAAGGCAGTTGTTCCAACTCAGAGCAACCCAATCTGTACCTGAACAGCAAGCCATCAGTGGACATTGCGTAGATGACCCTCGGCATGGGGAATAGTGACCCAAGCAGACTGACCGTCAGGCCAGCGATAGAGCCAACAGCCACGAAGTATTTGCCGGGTTCGGCGTGGTTCTGGACGAACATGTCCATCAGCGGTGCCTCTCGGCCGATGTCGTAGTACGGAACGGCCAGAGTCAGTACAAAACTCACCGAGACGTAACCTTTGTCATCAAAGCAAAATTCAATTTTTGGTATTTAAAAAGTACTTTTAAACTCCTTTTTGGGTGGTAAAGAATTCAGACTACAGCCGTTTTCCTCCATGCTTACTCTACAAGAAAAATATGATTATAACATGTTTGTTTTCATAAATCATAATCTGTCAAGTTTAGATCTTGATTCTGACACGTAACTTCTATTAATGATGCATGTTCCGAAGTAAATTTAAAAGTTCGTCCTGATAGCTTCCAGAATGGTTTAAAGCGTGAGTTTACACCTTCGCCAACTTCTGACAGTGTGCGTACTAATCTTACCCACGAGGCAGATAAGCAATGAGAGCAAAATGGCTGTTGGGATTGCCTTGGCTGGATTTCTAGCCTCCTCTCCTGTCGTTGCAATGATGTCAAACCCGATGAAAGCATAGAAGCACGTGGCTGCACCGGTCATTACCTGGTGAAACGAAACGAACAGATTACAAAAATAACGGAGCAGGTGCTCCGAGTTTCCTCTGTTATTTCGTAACCACGTAGCTTGCTCGACACGTACTACGGAATAAACTGAGATGATACACAAATGATTTAAATAAAAGTTTAGTCTTGAGATCCAAATTTTAACAAGTTCAGTCCTTATTTAATCTGCATTGAGTTCCAGCTCCGCCTGATTTTTACTCCACAATTTGGAGTTTTAGCTCAGTAACAAGTGATGTTTTTCTATAGGGGGTATCTGAACTGAATGCTATCGATAGAAAGATTGAAGTATTTTGGTAAGTGGTTTACATGTCAGAACCCAAACCCGAGATGAAGACAAAAGCAAGACTGTGTCTGAATTACTCGTCTGCGCTTGAAGTTGAAATTGCGCACGACTCGATAGAATGTGGATGCAGCTACTATTTCAAGTCGCAGTCAAATATATAATTCGGGCATTAAAATCCCAAGATAGCATGATTTCAGCATGTCTGCTGCCGCCACTCGTCTGACCTACCCCAGAGAAGCCAAACGGGAGGAATCCATTCTCGCTCCAGTTGTTTCCATTTAGAAAGAAGAGCCCTCCAGCGATCATGAAGACCCACACGGCCAAATTGATGGCGTTCAAGATGTTGTTGAAGGCCACCGACTTCTTGACCCCTGCCGTCACGATCAAGGTCATGATGATGGCGATTACCATGGCAACTAGATCTGGATAGGTTTCGGCTGTGGAGACAGATGTAAAGGGATGAAATTAATCAAGCTGTTCTCTTCTAAGGTGGGAAAACTTCAAAAGCAAACCTGAATTTGGGCCATGTTCGGAGGGATTTAGAGAGTCGTAACCTATTTAGACAAGGGTAGGTCAGTTTCAAGTCCAAACTAAGGTCAGGTCAAGGGACGACAGTACCAGGATCATTTGTTTTTCTATTCATAGCTTATAACTTGACACTGTATGGCGACTCAGTTCTTGTTGGCTATATACGACAGATTGAAATTTATCCGTGGTGGCTTCGATTCCACTCTTGAGTGATGGTTTACTGGGGGGATAAGGAAGATGACAATAATGCACACGGAATTAAATTTTAAGATATACATATATTAAAGAATTGACTTTGGGAAAAGACTGGAATTATGGCAAGCTACTCACTGTGGATGCCGAAACCTCCCACATGGTCCATCATAAACTCGCTTATTTTGTTGGTGAAAAGTGAATCCAGACAGCTGCTGAGTGCGCTTGCGCCGGCCGCCGTGCCAATCAAATACTCCAGGATCAGATTCCAGCCAATCACGAAGGCCGTGAACTCTCCAACTGTGACGTAGCTGTACATGTAGGCTGATCCCGTTGTCTTTGGCACTCTTACTCCGAATTCGCCATAGCAAACACCTGATATTGTGTGCCGGAGAAAAATGGACTGAATTTCAGTCATCGTTTTGTCTACGAAACGTTATTACACATGCATCACAATGAGGCAGCTTAGAATAAAAATAAGCTTCATCCACTTCTGTAATCCATGCCTGTCTGTAGTCAAAAATAAAACTTTCATTTTTCCTGACAATATGACAGCAAGTCACATTTTGATGATCTATCTCCAGTATTTACCGCTATTGGTGCTCAGTTTCAACACTCGGTCACTTACTCCTGATAACGTGATCTGTCTCTCAGACAACTTGAACAAGACGACTGGGTCACAGTTTCCTAATTATTTTTGCACAGCAGAAGGATTGATCAAATTAAACTATTCAATTAAAGTTACATATGAAAATAGAAATGGCCAGACACAGATCGGACTTATCAGAAAGAGAAATAAAAAAATTAGTTAAACAAAGCTGGGCCAAAAAAATGCAATCGTGGGTGATTAAAATGGTCTGTCCAGTTCGTTTGGGCTGAATTGATGACGAAGCCATTCGTTCCTGCCAGTTTGTACCGTGGCGATCAACTCTGGCATTTTGCTTTTGCTGTGCGTATGTTATAGATTTAATTTGGAGGGCCAACGGAGGAAAATGAGAATAAACGTAAAACAGCTTGACGTACTTGTCCTGAACGCTATTATGCCATTACATCAAAGTTATCAAATTATTTATGTAAAAGTCTCCCGTCCCCTGATTATTTTTCATTTTTTGATGAACTGTGATTCATTAGTGAAGTGGTATGTAGTATCAAATCACAGAGGATTAACTATGACATTTTTGAGAGAGGAAAATACATGATTAGAAACATTGCTCGTGCCCACGAGGTATGCAAATTAACCTGAATACAAGATACGATGGCAAACAGCGCGATTCATGCCTATCCTCTTTATAATTTAATTTACCAACTTTCCAGGTTCGTTGGCCGATTTCTGAGCTGACTGGAGAATCAGTTGTAAATTAATGTGCGCTATTTGTTTTCGTAGACATCTTCCTTTACATTTAGAGACAGTGGTTGCTGAGGGGATACGAATTACTAAAAAAAAATCAAACCTGCGTTCATGAAAAGTATATTAAAATTTGTTTATTTTTAAATTAATCATATTTTCCTCCGTTGGCCCTCCAAACCTATCCTTACAGCAAAAGGAAAATGCCAGAGTTGATCGCCACGGTACAAACTAACAAGAGCAAATCGATGAAGGCTTCTTCATCAATTCAGACCTACCATTTAATCACCCACGATTGGCTTGTTTTTTGTGGCTCAGCTTTGATTAACCAATGTTTCGCGGTAATTGATTGGAGGTCTTAAGACAATGCGATATCAATAATCCGATAGAGTGATCCGACCGTGCCTCATTTAAGTAATCGGCAGCACAACAAGATAAAATGGAATGTGTTCAATTTCTGTGGTCCTAGTTGCGTTTTTTCGAATCACGTTAAAGTAAGAATTTCACAATTTCACATTCAAAATAAATGTAAAACATATTACAGTTCAATCCAATCAAATGAGATCAGTTTTGTGTAAATATCAACTCGAGGAACAAATTTTCCTTTTACTTCAACACTGAGAAAACCAACAACACAAATTCACGACATAATAATTTATCAGTTATATACGTCACCTCTTTTAGCAAAATTTAGAATGCAACATATATTTCGCAACGGTGAAATAACATATATATGAGAATTATAAATGAGATGACGACGTTTACGGCTCTGACTGAAGCAACTCTTTCACGGCAGGTGCGTGTTCTGATAGAATACTAGATCAGGTTCCGTAATTCAATTTTTGCTTGTCGTCAGGTCAGTCCCGTACGTGGGTTTCCAATTACATTATAGTGGATGTTGTAAGTATACATCACATAACTATCGGGTTCGGCAGTTAGGAATTTTTTAATTTTTGTTAATACAGCTATAGGTTGATGTTATTTTGGTTATAAATATTAGTTTGCACTTTTCGGACGGATGATTAATCTATTATGGATTTTTAAGTCTTAGACTGCAGAGGTTTCTCTTGAAAGGTGTGTTAAAATTATTATTATTCAAAGAGGCAAGGATTCATCTTAAACTCTCCCTTGAGATATTTTCCTTTCACAAATAAAAGCCCTCCTTTGGATAAGGATGGGATCTATTATTGATGAGAAAAGGGACAATTAGTTTAGGTAAATAATCCCCATTCCCCCCGGAATCTAAACCATGGTCTACACATGCCATCAGGTCAAACAGGTTGTTGAGAGCTGACGTCAAGTATCACGTGGTAGTGCTTTGCATTTTTTTTGTAATGAATAAGTTATGTAATTATTGAGGTAATATTTGGGCACGTTTTATTGGCACATTTTGTTATGACACACAGTCTTAATCAGAATTCGTTTTTGTCAGCATCTTTTACATTTTGAAATAAATATCTGATTCATAAAGAGATTAAAACACAATAAAGCATAAATTGATTTTGTCTTGTCAAAAAAGTAAATTTATGTTTTCTTGTTTACTCCTGTAGGCTACATTCGAAGGTCTGCGTCTCTTGGGCAATCAATGAGTCCCGATTCATTTGGAAAGCTCGAAACACACTCTTAGAAAATTCCGGGATTGAAGATAAATAATTCTCTCTTTGGTTGGCCAAGATGAATCATACGAAGCTCAGTCCCGTATGGAAATGTCAAGCGGGCTGTGTTCGCAGCCTGCATGCAGGGAGTCTGAGGGCGGTGTGGGGGGGGGGGAGACGGTAGTGGAGGTGGATTACGGACAAATTGATTGAGGAACTAAACTAAGTGCCCTCCTTGAAGGCAGCTGTTCTTTAGGCGTCAAGATGAGGTATATCTGCAATAACGATATCTGAAAAGGATTTATCTTTCAAGGATTTGTTTTTCTCCTTAAGTTACCAGAATACCATTCTTAGAGATAGGAGTTAAAAAAGGAAAATCTTTTCGGTCGAGGAACTGAAATCCAACCTGATGCTCTGCCTGAAAGAGGGATCAACCTGCAAGAACATGTTACCATACGACATGTAGCTGGACCTGTATAGTTAATGCATGGTCGATAATGAAGTATACTACATAGCACTACTGAAATTTCCGCTGTTGGAGACTTAAATCTTTCATATAGTTTCAACAAACATCATTGACTTGATAAATGATGAACCACGGTATTGTTCACCGTATTTTATTTGTCCGCCCTTTGGTAATGATATAACACAAAATCATGCCATGCAGACAAAATGTCACCTAAAGAGTGGTAAAACTGTGCATAAAATTTCAGCAAAGCAGATGACATTTTTATTCAAGCCATTTATAATGGACTATAGCCGATAATTCTTCAGTTGTGATACAACTAAGTCACAGCGGCACTTTGGTGGTCAGGCCGTGTAAATACCCGTCTTTTCTGAGGTGTGCATAATTTCGACTTCATTTTGGATGCTGTCATTTGAAAGTTGCTATTTCGATAAGAACAGAATATCGGTACGTTATAAACGTCATGGTCTTAATTAAAAATGACAATTGTTGCTAACAATGTTGCTGTTAATATTTTGATAGACATTGGACAAAATGTGCACCGAAAGTCTCATGTGAATCTTCCCTTCTGATGGTCTATATTTTTTGATCTGAATAATTCATGTAATGAGGTAAAATCATACACGGCATTTTCCCACCAGTTTGTCATTTCAAAATAATACTTCTCGACAACCACCTTTTTACAGTGCATTTAAAGAAAACTTTTGCAATTGAAAAAAAAATATTTGCAACCCAGCGCTCTTGGGAAATCATGAACCAATGACACTCCAGGTGAAAAGCTGGCGGAATAGGCAGCAAAATCATACAAATTTAAGGATAATCGCAATTCCCCACTTAAAAATCATTGAACCACAGAAATTAAAGTAACTCGTGTAAAATCCATAATCATTCAAAATGTATAGAGTATACTAAGATCAAAATTATATTCTATTAGGCTGATTACACTTTGAACTTATCTTGGATTAGTGGTGTCAATAAATAAAGAAAAAAATAATCCGTAAACAGATTTTAAAAAAGATACTTTGTAAACCCTGGCTGTAAGCAATACTATCGTCGAGCACTGAACCCAGGATTAATGATTAAAAAATGGAATTTCTTATATTACCGGAAATTAAAACATCACCCACGCTCCAAGACGCGTTGCACGATAGCTGGACGAGAAATTTAGAGATGCACATTGACGTACGCTTGACGCATGCAGACCGAGAGTTTAGACTTCATACCAGTCCCGACAGCAGTGCAATTTTCGGTTGTCAGATAAACAGTGTAACGTGTAAAATAAATTGCCGAGGGCATTTTCGTCGTACGTGTATTTTACCCTCGCTCGGGAGGCTTTCATTGAAGTTGTTATCGCTGACGGCTCCCGTTTATTTTCACTCGCACAAGGCATATGCATACGAGCATTAAACAAAACTGTAAATAGAGTAGCATCAATCACGTGATGAGTCGCAGACATTTTTTTTTTTTTTGCATGCGCCTGTATATGCAACTAACTTGCTTAATGAATGTTATGGGAAAAAGCCGAAATTTTCCTTGAGAGCCTGAAAATAATTCCTAGTTCGTTGACGTAAGAAAGCATATTGACATTCAATCCGGCATTTTCAGGCAATTTATCTACAACACGAAAACAGCTTAAATTTTCTTCCGTAACCTCGAGCAGCAGTGTGTCCAAAATGTGTTCATCCTAACGCTTCATAACCAGGGGTGTTAAAAGCAGTTTGAGGCAAAAAACAGACAAACAGAAGCTGACGTTGGCGTCTGCAGCCAACATTTCTGTTTTCGTCTGCTGTGCACTCGAGATCGTAAATTAAAATTAACCAGTGGTACCAGTAGGGGCATATTCAACTAATGCGGCTTCGGGCTCATTCAACATGCTGTTCGGAAGAAAAACTAAATAGCCTTACTGACAGTCTCTACATCCTTGCTTTTATATTCTGGTGTTGTTTCCATAGGGTTTTAGTGCTAATATTTGATAAATAAATATACCGATTACTTTCTTTCTTATTGTGACTATGAAGTATTCCTTGTTTTCCCCCATCGGGCCCCTATGAGGAATGAATTTACTCGTAGACACAAAGCAGTGCCAAAAGAGGAATATTTTGAGTCGCACATATGTTTCCCTTTTTGGTTTGTTTGTTTTATTGTAAACATGAATTACACTTTAGTGTCAAAATACAATGCGTACACAAGTCACGTTACAGGCTCAAATATCTACCAATCACCTCTTAACTGAAATTGACTGCATATCTTCTCATAGCGCCTTATACACATAATTAACGTAATTGTACCATTGCCTGGAATGGTGGCTTCAGCCGCTAATTGGCGATTTTGCCCAGACATCGTCCCTGAAACACCACCGCCAATACCGCTGCACCGACGCGTTAAGTGAGCGCTGGCAAACCCAGCGTCCTTGAGGCGGAAAATAAAAAATGAGATAAAATTTCATCTTAAGGTTGTTTGTTTCAATTGAAGGCGATACACTGCCTGTGCAGTCTTTCTGCCCCTGCAATCAATGTGGCGCCCCGAATCACAAGCCGAGGGAAAAGGCTGGGTTACAAATGGATTCTGTCTTACAAAACTTCCATGTACAAATATTTACCGAAACATCCAAAAATGAAATCAGATGTGATTATCGTCAGCGCGTTAAAACTGGTCGTGTTTCCCATCGATGTAAATTCAGGTGAAGTAAATCGCATCGACAAAACCAAGACTATAGTGTGACTTATTTCTTTTCCCACACAGCATCGCATTTTGATTTGGACTCAGGATAATATTTGGGCGGAAATGTAAACCTAGGGTTTTATTTTATTGGATCGACTTGAATTGGGTTTGGGTGCCTTGATTCTGTAGCTTGGCCCCAATAACCATCCCGTAGCGTGACCACGCCCCTACTTGGCTCTGGTACCACATCACTACCTGCTAAATTACCCTTTATAGAAAACTAGCTCACAGTGTAGTTAATCTTTCGGCGTGACAAAGTCACAATCCCTGTCATGCAGGTACATTTGGCTTGGTATTAATATTTACTCTCCAGAAGGCAGTGGTGTTTGCAAGGCACTCAATCCTCGACCACACAATTCAGTGTACCGTGACGGACATCACTTTTATATTGTCTATGAATTGAAAGGTGCGTGTTTCATCAATGTTACTATAATGATGTCTACACAGAGAGATGTTTACAAGATTTAAGCGTGCCGTTTATCGTTTCATTCATTTGAAGCACATCTTGGTATCCCCTGAAAAATTGAGAGAAAGATATTTAGTTCGTGTCATTGCATGCATGTTAATTGCCTTCTCAAAAAATGTCTAAAGACTTACCTGATAAAATAGACGCTAAAGCTGCAACAATGAAAGACAGAATAACACCTGGCCCGGCCATCTCCCTCGCGACCAGACCTGAGACCACATACATGCCTGTCCCCATGCAGCTCCCCACCCCAAGGGAGACGAGATCCAGGGTCGACAGACACTTGGACAACTTCCCGGGCACTGAATCGCGGCGGATGTTCATGCCGGAGATGTCAAGGGACTTGACCCGCACCAAGCGGCGCACCACGCTGTCCACAGCAGACCGGAAGCCCATTTTGACGGAAGGCTCTGAGCAATCCCTCGGCTTCACTACGTGTGATGTATGCAAGCCCGACAGTCGTGAGTCCGGCTCTTAGAGAAAGACGTGCCTATGAACACTTTACGTTATCACTGCAAATGAGATTTCGAAAAGGAGGCGAAAAGTCAATTAAAACAATAACAATAGTTTATTGTGCGAGAATAAAATCTTGTCACTGATGATATTGCCCTTGTACTTCACACTTGAAAGAGAAGAATATTTCTGCAAGTCAGATAGGCTCATCAATATATGAAAGCTTTGTGCTATTTTACTGACCATCGAATACACACAGCCGTTTGGCCCTTTGAATGAGAATTTTAAAAATTAAAACCACAACTCCCATCATCCCATGAGATGGCTTCCTCGTGATTGGGGAAGAAAACTTAAAACAGCCCAAGCGTCCCTGCACATTTTGGTTGAGCTGACTCTATACGCTAAAACCACTATTTTCTTTATGATTTTGAAGAGGTCTACGCCGAGAAGAGAGAATACGGAGAAGAGTAGCATCATTCTGGGCATATCAGTCTTAGAAGGAACTACTGTTCGAAAGTATGATTGTAATTGCTTGCGTAAAATAGTCTGTTATATTAATTTAAGAACGTCGATGTCTTCGTGCATATTTTTTCAGGGTTTGTAAGAGAGCATGGTGCATCATTTCAGATACAATTAACAGTTGCCTGTACAGAGGAATTGCAGTTTTTTTCCCGATAATTATCAACATTTTGTCATCAAAGAAACGTCATTATATTGTTGGATAGTGGGTTTATTTTCCAAGACAGTGTATCTAGCGTCCCTTTAGTTCTGAAATACTAAATAATCGTTTACGGCACACCTATCATGCATCCAGCCAAAATAGATCAACTCTGTAGCATCTTCTGACGGAGTTTGAGGCTTCGCCTTAAAATCGATTTGTCTCGCTCGGCAAATATAGGGCACAGTGGGAATATACAATCGAATACATCGATTATTTGCTGTTCCCTCGGGAATCGACTTCACAAAAATAGCCCCGTCGATTTGCATTGGCTGTGCTTTGCGAAAGTTGAAGTAATTACAATCCTGCTTGAGACAGGTAATCGAATATTACCGAATCGGTTACGCGTCCAGTAATGTGTCAGCATTACTGAGTCAGCAAGAAGCTTGTTCAAATTGATGACACGCAGATCACATATCGAGATAACGGTTGCAGACGAAGAATATTTAGGCCTAAAATAAATCAAACTGAATGAGTTTTACTCAACGTATCTCAGCGCTGAATTTCAGGGGAAAAAATTACACTGAGATCTTGCAAGTGGAGTTCATGCAAAGATCGACGCGAAGCTTCAAGGGAAGGGGTGCACATTGGTTCAGTTTTTATATAATGAGAAGAATGAAGACGGGGCCAACTTTAGCAGACATTACTTCGCCATTAACCATACCCTATTCGAGCTCAACGAATTACACTGAAACACCATTTTCAAAATGGTGGCGAGTGATGCACCAACAGTCTGCTACGCTGCAGATGGACAAAGTTTAGTGGCTGACTTAGCTGATCGTTTTCAGATTATCCAGTTCGTTTGTTGAGTGCCAGCAGATGGTTGTTGTTGAAAACTCAACGATTTCACATATCTCTCCTGGTTGAAGGCTGGATGTGAACCCCGATTGCACTTTCCAAGAACACGGATAACTGATTAAGCCTTACTGAGCAAGACACTTTGTATTAGAAAATAGTAAGTGTGTACTTGAATAGATGGAATATTCCAAACAGGTAGACCTTGATACAGGCTTTAGGACGTCCTGTCAACGTTTCAAATTAGTTGCGGTTGACTTGAATGTTTGGGTTGAAAAATTTTTTAAAAAAGAAATGTGGATATGATATAGTGGCTTCTTCATGTTTTCGAATATTCAGGAAAAAACACTATACAGCGTCTTATCTAACATTTGCCCGAAATAAAGAGCAAAATTGCAGAATTAAAACGTGTTGGTCTGAAATCAAAATGGACCTTAAACACGCAATTCCCACATTATCAAGGCGACCGAGTGCTTGAGGCGTTGGTTTTATAAGGTCATGTGGATGGTAGTCCACGTGAGCAAGAACCCCATCCTTGGCCATTTTCTTTTTTAGATTTGGCTCCGGGATTTCTATTTTTAAATTTTACATTACGCTTGTTCGCTCTAGAATAGATTATGAGAATCTTTATGCCAAGGTGGTTTTTGGTCCAAGTTCTAAAACAGGCCTGAAAATGGTGCTTCTTCCATTTAACAAATGACAGTTGCAAAAAGGAAGCCGGAGACGTTGATTGAGCTTTTTTCCTTTTCATTAAATCATTAAATTCTTCTACCAGAACCAAGGTGGCCGAGTGGTTAAGGCGTTGGACTTAAGTTCCAATGGACAGCAGTCCTCGTGGGTTCGAACCCCACCCTTGGTAATCATCATGGTTAGACTTTTTTTTTTTAATGGACATGAAAAGGTGTAATGTGGTCAGCCCTATACACGCTTGGCGGCTACAAGTTTTGTTTCTACAGTCAATTCTTAAGACAGTTGGGCAAATTATTTTGCCTGTCGACTATACAAAACATCAACCTGGTTTGGCGTCGGTAAAGCATGGGACTCTTATTCCCAGGGTCGTGGGTTCGAGCCCCACATCAGACCACCACAAGCATTTTTCATATACAGTTTTTTTTGCGAGTTCAATAACGTTAGAGCAAATCTGTTAAATTAATCTATTTTCCCGAAAACATCTTCCCGGTTAGCTCAGCGGTAGAAGCAAGGGACCCTTAATTCCAGGGTCGTCGGTTAGAGCCCCACATCGGCATGTTTTTCCCTCACTGGGTCAACCATCTCCAGATACACAAAACTGTATAAATCATGGCATAGACAAGTGTTGTCCATTCACAAATGGCATGACCCCTCTCCCCACGCTACGGACTGTCAACTGTTCTTGTTCGTATCATAACCGACAATGAATCTATCTCTGATATGCTTGACTGCTTTCTTTATTTGCCATTAGGAACTAAAGATAAGAGAGTGCATTCATTGGCACCCCGTCACATCACCTGTTTCCTCGCTATCTATGGACGTAAATCTCTCTTTCACTCAACAACAAATCGTTCTTCCTTTTTATCTACACATTATTTTGCACGAAACAAGGGAGACAAATATTCTCACTGACCTATATCGGTGCCATTTCCAGGAGATTTCTTCATCAAATCCTTCGTCTTTCCCTGTCAGACTTTCCAAGGTGCGCACTCCCCAGCGTAAAAATTCCTACAGCTGGTGCACGTAAACGCCTTGCACAATGCAATGGGATGCATGCAAGAAGTGCAAACCTGACCAAAATAAAGAGCATTAGATATTCACCATCCTCCCACGAAAAGGAGGAGCCTAGTGGTTTCCCCCTCTTTTTCTCCCCGTGCCTCCGTGCTCCTTCTGTCCACACGCCTAATCATGCAGGGATCTCTCCGAATCACAGAGGAACTAAATAGATGAGTCAATATCACTTGTCTTGAATTTCTCCGTTGTCTAAGAGCCCCCGTCACATTCGTTTCGACAAACAAAAGGGAAACCCATGATGTTAGATTTGCGATGTGACAATTTCCAAAGGAAGCCCTCAAGGCATCCCAAGGGTTTCTCGGGAGCAAGAATTCAACGGGGACCCCTGTCGGCGTTTCATACCGCTGTAGTCAATTACGGCCAGAAAATTATGCACGCGCCTTAACCAGTGTATGATCATCATCATTCTTGTCGACATGAGTAATGGTCACCAAGGCAACGCGCATGCGTGATGAGACGGGTGATGCCTTGGTTAATTTTGGCTGCCGCTGATGAGGATAAGCTGGATTTTTTTGAGTGTGTGAACCTCGCACATTAGCCGCTAATACGTTCGTTCCGTTGGTGTGCTGGCTAACATTGCTAAGCACACTGAGGTAAAATCAAAGATGTCTACCAGTGCCGTCTGTGCATGGTTTGGAGTCGTAATTAAGGTTAACAGAACAAAAGATCTACCCTTAACGGCTGTTTCGTGCTTCTAAATTTCTTTGCTATTTCCCCAATTCAATACACATCATGTACATGTAATTTTAGTTCTCCAACATGTTTATAAAGAATAAGGACGGCCCTCACATTCAGTTCAATTTTACCCCTTTGCACTATTTATAACCACTCAACACAACCACGTAATTTTTTCCTAGTAATGAACCTGATTTCCATTAGACGTCACCATTTTGTGTTCGAGAATCCGAATGGGTTGAAATTTCCACGTCCCAAAGGAGATTATGGCAGATAATTTATGTTCAATAGTTGCCCCGCCATTTTTCTCCTGCATGGTGCTGAATATAGAATCTTTACGACCCTATTTAAATATTCATATATTTTAAATTATTCACATCCAGTCGTCGTTAATAATATGAGTAAGGAGAGGAGATAGCTTGCGGCGCTCGCCCATACATGCGTGAATGGGTCCACTTCGAGTAACTAGCACGAACTATGCAATTGCAAACCTTTACTTTCGAAATCCAAGACAGGCGAAATACCAATCAACGGCTGTAGGTTATGGCATCCTTCAGCTTCCGAATACTGAAAGAAGAAAACGAGTAATGTATCTGAACACGTATCACTCCATGACTGTTTGCGTCGGGCGTTGATACATCTGCAAATAAGCCATTTGCGAGTTAAATTTGAATCAATCTGGTACACTGAGTTCTTTAAATTCACGCAAACATAAAAACTTGAATTCTCCATACTAAAACCACTGTTGCTTTACCTCGTGATTCGGGGCAAGCTTTTGCTTAGTTACATAAGAGACGCCTTGCAACAATACGCTGTTCTCAGTGGTTAGGAACGGCACAAAGGAACCAGCCCAGAGATGGTGGTCACTATGTAAAAGCTTACCCCGAATCACGATGCATAGCGACAGTGTTTTCAGTCTGGGGAATTTAAATTGTTACGTTTCTGTGCAATCGGATAACACAGTGTACCAGATTTTATTCAAATTTAACTCGCAAGTGGCTTATTAGCCCGGTATTCATCATTGGGACTCCATGAGACTCAGCAAGAAACCACTAATGCAACATGTCATATTCGCTCGAACAAAAAAAAAGACGAGATAATGCCATCGTTTATTTCAAATACGAAAAAATGCCCTTAGCACCTTCCGAGTAAATTACACAATGCGTGTGCGGCTTAATCTAAAAGAGTACACAATGTGTGAAATCAATTCAGGAAATTTTAAAAACATACACAATGAACACGAAAATCAGAAACAAGAGGGCGCTGTTCACTGTGAATGAAAACACAGTATCGACGGAACACGTGGCTGGCTGGAGACCTTTTGCATACTTCAGAAATGATAAACGTATTTCACCAGAACGATTTCTACCGAACTAATGTTGAATTATGCATTACTTATAGATTTTTGTACAATATAGAGTGTGATACATGCTAAGGTAGAGTGTAAAAAGTAATATGGGCGATTCACAATAGTGCACCACCAAGAGTTTGCAACGCGTTGGCCGATCATAACGCGCGAAATTTGTCGACCCTTTCTAAACGCGCATTGGGTCGACAAATTTTGCGCACTGTGATTGGCCAACACATTGCAAACTCTTGGTGGCGCACTCTTGGGAAACGGCCGTATTAAGGTTACTTCTTAACAATCCCGCAGGAACATAGTTAATTTTGACGTTAGAGTTTTTATTCCAGTCTTTTAATGTTTTTTGGTCCTTTCAAAGTAACTGTGTAATTTTTGTAAGTTTTGTGTTTTTAGTTGTTTAATCTTCCTGATGAAATAAATAAATAATGAATGAATGTCTGGTATATTTAGAACTTTGTCAGAATGTGTTATACGCCTCAAACACTGTCTGTATTTCTCAGTTTTTGTTCCCTTGTCGCACGGTGGCGTTTAGATCAGCATTTTGAAGTCTTTGTTTTCGACCTATTCTCGCGACTTTAAACAATGAGCAACGCCCTCTTCATCCAATAATTCAAGAAATACTTATTCAAGAAAATTTTGTCAAATTAAGACGGTAAAAAACTAAGTACGAAAACTGTGATGAATTCATACTTACCAAACTGAATTCAACTGTCATTTGGAAGGAAACAACAGCAACAAAACGTTACAAATATAACTGTTTACTGATTTGAAAGGTTTCGTAAAGATAAAATTGCTAGTTGACCAACCTCACACTTTTCCCAGCGCTGAATTTATAACAGATATGTCACAGTCGCAACGCGGTGACGTGAGTCACGTGACAATGAATTCTTCACGTGCAACACTACATTTCTCCTCAGAAAGAAGTACTACACATAAACATTAAATCTGAAATATTTAACTAATACTGCTGCCAAATATCCGCAAATCTATTACAAAATCGTCACATCAAGCAAATAGAAAACTACGAATGAAATTCGAAGGAATGACAAACCAGAACAAATATTTAACGAAAAAAATCAGAATTCTAAAAACGTTTGTTAGCTCTGGTGGTATACACTAAAACTCAACACAATAAACCTGACAACTAAAAGATAACTGATGAAAAGAGACTTAAGAACCAAGTCTTAACATTGCAACAATGGTTAACGGCTTTTAGATGGCTTCGATTCGGCTTACTGATTGATCGACTAATCATTAAACCAATCGATCAATCAGTCGATTTCAGTGCATACAATAATAATATGATCTCACAATTTTCACTTAAGTCGTAGTACATCTTCGTTTGATCCAAATAATATGGTTTTTATATAAAAATGGGTATTTTGTTCTAAAATTAGGGTAATTAATATTTTTGTATAATTCTTAATACATATAATTTCTCAATAGCTCAAATCTGGCAATAATGTAAAATACATTCTCAAGAATATTTTGCAAGTAAGGAAGTGGAGAAGCATTTTGCAATCGTGAACGGAACAAAAGGCATTTGCATGGTACATACGCGACACTTGAAACGCCAGAAATTTCAAATGACCACATAGCTTGCTACGCGAAACTCCAAACACTTTACCACAACATTTTGTACAAATAACTTCCACACAATATGCCTTTTTAATATTGGTACTGATAAACACTTTCTACTTCTTCAACCAATTTTCGAAGAGACTTTTTTTTAGGTTAAATACAAACAACTTGATTCACATTAACAGTCATAAAGGCACAGTTGAAAATGTGCTCTGATGTACATTAAAACAAAATTCTCAAAATTTCATATAATCATGACTTCTAAATGTTTCTCCGCTTAAACTAAGTGGAAGACCCATGGTGCATATTATCGTGCGAAAATGAACAACGTGAGTTTCAAATTTGCTAAGTATATTGATGCAAAAGTCAAAAATAAAAAATGCACGAACTCTGGTAACAGAATAAAAAGTTTAAATTTTGGAGGAATAAAATCATCAAGCATTGTTTCGTGCAAAACAAAAATGCAAACTCATGTCAAGAACAAACCAACAAAACCAGCATTAGGGCCTATAAGAGTACATGTATAACAGCAAATTCCAAGCACAAAAAACTTTGGAAGAACATAACTTTAGTGTAAGAACGGAAATGCTCTGGTCAACTTTGCCCAATTTCCGCCGCTTAAAGAGGACAGTCATCATACAGGCCGATCTCAGCTGTTAGACTAAGGTGTCTCATGAAAATCTTTATACCCAATGTTTTGGCGCTTCGGCATCTGTCCCTTTACGAATTCCTGGTGCATAGCCTGTTCGGGAATAGACGGCAGAAGAATGCGTTCCTCATCGGGCAGTCGGCAAGAATATCTTCTCGCCTCCACACTGTGACAAATACCGTAACAGAAGTACACGCACAGACCTATGCACACGGAGTAAGGAATGAATGCTAGAAAGTCGGTTAACGTGAAGAGGTATTGGCTGAACTTTGGACTAAATGAAACGACCGAGAATGCCGAAAAAAACTAGGGCCTGCAAAAGTTATAAATGGGGGGAAATACAGTCAGACTTCAGTAGTGTGACAAGGCACAAACCAAAACAGGTGTAGCCGTCCGTGTGTAGGAGTAGCTTCTAACTTAACATTGATAAGGGCTCATCCACCCTGATAAAATCGGCACAAGTATGAGGTAAACGAAGACAGTTTACATCGAAATTAAATCGGCAATTAGTAATGGCGCTCACAATATCAACAACTTAGTTCCAGTCCAAGCTTCGACCAGGGTTTCAGTCTATGATGTTCAGGTACCGATAACTCTAAATTAGTCGATCACTGCACTCGTCAACTATAATTACAAACTGCACTTTTAGTTGACAGCAACTAGGACCACAGTCCCACAAGGAACTGATAGAAATTAGTCGATCACTTCACTCGCAAGGAACTGATAGAAATTAGTCGATCACTTCACTCGTCAACTATAATTACAAACTGCACTTTTAGTTGACAGCAACTAGGACCACAGTCCCACAAGGAACTGATAGAAATTAGTCGATCACTTCACTCGTCAAATATAATTACAAACTGCACTTTTAGTTGACAGCAACTAGGACCACAGTCCCACAAGGAACTGATAGAAATTATTCGATTTGTTACACCAGGGGATTATCAGAAGAATGACGTTACTGCATTTCAGCAAGGTCGGTGATCTAAATATAGAATGTATTGACACTGTTACCCAATCAATAAAGTCATTGAAGGTCGATATCGATTATGATCCACAGACCAACTGACCTTTGGTGGTTTTCAGTGAATGCCGAAATCACGTTTTCCTAGTCCGTATTGTGTAGTGTAACAATGACCACTGTTATTCAATACGGACGAACAATGACCTCTGAGTTGAATTTTAAATGTTTTATTATAGGCCAGTCCTATCCTCAAATTGTTTTCACAGGTAAGGCTTTAGTGCGTGATCGACACCTGTTTAAGTATTTAGCAAAGGTCAGTGTTAACTCCAATGCTCCATTAATATTTTGTGAACGATCGGATAGGAAAATTGATTGTGTTCAATCAACTGGATATGCTCAGATGTTGTGGGGTTTGTTATTGGCGTAGTAAGAAAAGTCGAATTAGGTTCAGTCCAGAGGATAAGTCGTGAGGTGGGTATTATGGGTCGTTACATCGAGGGCTCACTGGGTTGCAAGCGCAATAATTACGGTACGCGTGCACAAACAGAAAAATCAACTTGAAAATAGTTTTCAGCCAGGGTCTCCCCAAGGGCGTTTTGGGTCACCTGTGGGGAAAAAATGATTGGATTTTGTTTGACGGGGTTATATTGAAACGCTTGGGTGGCTCTGAATATACACAAAATAATTTATTCTCACTTACCAAGGATGAGCCAAACCACAAAGATAAGCCAGGTCTTGGCACTTACAAAGAACAGTAGACAAATATTTGCTGAAATCCCTAAAAGCGGCAGGAGGGGAAAGAGTGGCGTCATGAAGATGGGTTTCACCTCCCTGCGTGGTTGGGTAACAATCACCACGAGACAAACAATGATGGCGACCAAGACGACAAACGAGCCAGATATGGTCCATGGTTCCACTTCCTGCACGTACGGAACGCGTTGCGTCAAAATGGCGGCCATGACGGCTATCCAGAGACAAACCAGAAGGGAAAATCCAGCTGCGATGTTGGAGGTGAACATAGTGGGACTTTTTACTTTATTGCGGCTGCTGTGCGGGCTTTCGAGATGTTTAACAGAAGCCAAGCGCAGCCTGTCTTGGTACTCTTCCACGATGGCGTCAATGTCCGTCTCCTCGATGTCAGAGCCACCAGAGCTGTCCGACGTCTCGTCCCGGAATCGCACCGATTTTCCGTTGCTCTGTGAGGCGTCAACCACCGCAGGTGAATTGCCTTTCTCGGTCTTTCCCTCCGCTGAGGGCCGCTCTTCGGCTTCGGGCCTCGGCAGAGCCTTGCGTTCGGCGTGGTGATGTGGACCACCGTTTCTCTGAACGGGCTCCGTCTTGCCCTCGGTTTCTGGGGTTGTCATTTCGCCGTTTCTCAAGATGTCTTCCAGGTTGATGTTTTCATTGACGTCGAACTTAATCTTCTGATACCTGTGGGAAAGGGTGCATGCGCAGACGAGAAGCTGTTTCACCAACAGTCCTACTGCCATCAATTCCAGGAGCGTTTCCTGATTCAACACAACTGCCACTACTCCGCAGATTATCCCAAAGATGACAGCCGTTAAAAATGGCGACTGGAGTCTGGAGACGAGTTTACCCAGGAATCGGAACGCAAGCCCGTCGTTTCCTAGCAGAAACACGCTGTACACCAGCGAGCACATGTTATTAAAAAGGGCAGAGCCCAGACAGAGTATTGCACTTATCCCGACTGTATACATGGCCCAGTTCCCCCACTGGATACCAAAGAGTCTCGCCATAATTGGCTCCTCGTTCGTCCAAGAGAACGGCACCACTAAGACACAGAACATGGCCAGCACCAAGTAGAAAACTAAGTTAATTATGGACGACAAGGCCAGGGCGTGGGCAATTTGGGAGGAAGACGAACCCGAGCTTTTTGATGACGTTGAAATGACGTCATAACTACTGAAGAGAAAAATCAAAACTGCCGCCCCACGGAACACCTGTTGTGAGAGACAAAAAACAAGTTGAATCACTAGGCAAAACGGCAGTACCCCTTGGATTGGTGTCTCGAAAGAGAGCCAAAGTTAAAATTGATAGGACTAACGAAGGAACCAACGAATTACACTCTTTTCAATTATAAAGATACGCAGCATGTGTGGAAAACCTGGAGAACAATTCTTTTTACGTTCGGAAATGTGACACACACAAACAACTTTCACCCCATTTTCTCCCCAATGTCACTTACGATTAACAGGAAACACATCATAAAATGAAATCTGAAGCCTGATTATATTTCTCTGGTATAAATTCAGCAAACTTTTACACAGTGCGGAAGATCACCGCAAATGGATTTTGGTATAGTTGTTTGCTGACTGGCGTCGACATTTTAACAAGCAATAGACAGTGACCATGACTTTGCCGAATTTTAGCGCATGCGCACAAACTAAGTGAAAAAGGTGAACATACATGCCGGTGACGGTGCACTTCAGCGCAGGGCGGACATCATTACCGGCCTCACACTACACGATCCTTGAAACAAGCACTCAAAACAGCATGGTCCTTTTTTTAGATACACGTTCATGAATGAATTGGATTCAGTCAGTTTAATGTTCAGGTGTGCATTCTCAACAGGAATCTATAGATTTCTTTCAAATGTTAAATGATCCTGACAAATACCATATCTTCTTTACCGACCGTCGACATCTAATAAATTCGGAAATAATTTATCTCCGTCGGTACTTTGGCAGCGGTGCACATTCTTCCAGCAGTTAAAAATGCGGGCATTGCAAATATGATGGTTGGCAAGTTACCAAGACTACTTGTTTCAAAGAATTGCAGTGTTTTGCGAGTGGGACAAATTCGGTTGATGACGCAACTAATTACATAATGTCATTTTTTTGCGGGCACGTACGTGCCAAACCATTAAGTATCTATCCACAATTTGGCAGTGCACGAATGGTCCTTTTGAAACGGTTGGCTTTTTGGAGACTGAATATCCTATTATAGTGACTGTATAACAACTGATATCTCCACGTTTTGAATTCTAAACTGCATTTGAATTCCCTCTGATTACGCTTCGAAGCAATCATCCACAAATGATCTGAATGGATTTATAACCATCGGAGGATTAGAGAGTTATACCTTTCTGTGCACAAACAGGATGTGATTTGATTTTCAAATGGTTAAAAAATCTGGCATTGATGGACTGTTACGACTAGTATGAATTTTGGTGAAATTTAGCTCGGAAAATGAATATTAGGGCGCGCCACTGCAAATCTTGCGTTTACAACCAGGCAGAGGTCTTCACCAGCTCGCAGTTGCTAGTACACGAAGCGGTAGCACCAACATTGGCTAAATATTCTCCGCAATCATTATACTCGTCCTGATGAAAAATATTTTATCATACGCTCATAAACAACATAAAAACTACTAATTTACACATTCAACTTACCCCTTTGTGTCCCTCGGGAAATATGTTAGCTGTAAGTTGAAAGCGCTGATTGGTCAACTGGATTCCCGCCAAAACAATAATCGCCAACACCAAGATGCAAGATACCACGCTGAAAATCGCGTTGGAGAGAGACGATGGTTTCCCACCGACGGACACCAGCAGCGCAACTACCACGACCACAGCCAAGGCCAACAAGTCAGGCTCCGGAATGTACACCGAAGCGGCAGTGTCCTCCAGCGCAACAATTGTGAAGTTCTGGATCGGGTTGCCGATTATGTAATCGAAATTGGAACTGATGGATCGGCCAAGCAACGCGGAGACGGTGAGATAGACTAAAATTTGGCACCAACACCCCACGACGGCGGGAAACTCTCCTGACAGCATGTAGATATAGTGGTACGGCGAGGCAGGCATTGATCTCGTCGGGTAGTGCGACGTGTATTCGGCGTAGCAATACCCTGCATAAATAAAACAATGGGACATCCAGAATTCACAATAACTGCCTAATTACCAAATGCTTTGTTTAATTTCAGTTTCTTTGTAAAAGAGCCTCTGAAACCAAACGGATACCCTTTAAAAGTCTTCATCTTGATTTTTTTTTCTTCTAAAATCTACCCCTTTTACTGAGACAAAAGCGACGAAAGGCAGAAAAGTTTCTTCTAGTCTGCAGAGACAGCAAAACACGTCTTTGCAAATTTCAAAGTTCTTGGAGGATCTGCAAGCTCCTGTCTGTCAGATGTAAGGTCAAACATGTTCGTAGACCTCAGCTGTACTTTTTGTAGGGAAAAGGTCGAGGACAGCTGAAAAAAATGACTTGCATCACTGACTTTAAAGCTCGATTCTTGTCAAATCATCATGTGCGTTTACAGAATCGCGGCGAGGAAGTTGTCCTGGTTACGGCATTGGCATATAGTGTATACCTTACTGAATATTCCAGCACATTTTAGGCATAACCACGACAAAAGTAATTCAATATGCTCTCTGTTACATTTTTAAAGGCCCACATATCAATGAAGGAGGGATACTCAAACAAATTGCAGCATGACCCAATACACGTTTTCCTTAAGCAAACACCCCAATATACCTGCGACACCATGCCCGGGGATGCATTACAAATGTAACACTGTAGGCGCACGGCAGGTTGACGTTCTGTGTTTATGACGTAAGGTATAGCCGTCGCTAAATATAGCACGACAGCGAAGCAGCTGTTGCGTCTGTCTGGTTTTAAGCAAATGCATAATGCGCATGCATATTAAAATGATGTTATTCAGAGAATAATCATGAAAACACTTTTATTATGTTTTAAAAATCCAGCTCTGGAAACACCGCTTATTGAGAGAACTTTTAAAAATAAAATGTTTGACCCATCTCGTGCAGGATTAGTAGAGAATTATGGACAATGCTGTTTTAAAAATATCTATTCATGAACAGATTAGGTTGCGGCTTAAACTACATCATATCACGTGCTATTTTATTTTAATTTAAGCAAAATTGAGTTTCCTGAAATATCTGATGTTGAACGAGAAATTTTCGCCCAATGAAAAAAGTCAGTTGATCAAGCACGACAAATACGTAATGTTTTTGACACAAAGATCTTTTAAGTTTAACTTAGAATGAATTCCAACAGTTTTTACTAAATATGAACCAAATTGACCAGAAAATAAAGAAAAACTTTAATCCACCCCAAGTCTGAAAAACACACACACATGAATTTAACATCCTTAAACCATGGAATTGAAGAACCAACTGAGCGGAGAGGTTGTGCCACTTCTCCAGAGGCCAAGTGGTTTCACGGTGGGTTTAACAAATAACCCGCGGCCAAAATGGATTGAGGATTAATTCATGAATATCGTGCATATTCACTGGGTTCTGTCAAATCAAACACTGACGTGCATGCACATGAGCAGAGAACTGCCAGTGTTCCAATGACCGCTGTGAAATTTCCTCGTGTGCTACCATTTCTTCGTGTAGGGAGACGGAGCTCAGCAGAGGAGTCAGTCAGGCCAGGTCTTAACCCCCTGACGACGTTCTTGTAAGCACCCATTGAAGGGTGTCCATTAATCCTTAATTATTAATATGTGAGATATAAGCCAGCAGAACTGGCTCATTTGGCTAATGAATTCGTTTTCTTCTTTCATGTGCTGGTAGCTTAGGCTTTGCCTCTGTTTTTTATGACTAGCTAACTCATGGCCATTGACGATACGCAAACGTTACTTTAGACCGCAATGAAAGGGTACGGTGTATCCTTTCTCACCCGCATGTCACTGTGTTAAGAACGTGTGTGTTTGTTTTATCTCGGTTGAGTTAACACTTCATCCAAATGGAACGGAATAGTCATAAAGAAGCATTTATTTGAACAAAATGCCGAACACAGAGCGCGTATAACATGCAAAATAAACGGTTCTGAATACAAAAAAAATAATGCGAAAAGCCTGATAGCTAGAAAATGGTGCACATTTACATCTTCGCAACAGAATTTTTCAGAAGCAACATTTAACTACACCTGAATACGTGGCACATACGTCATGACCCTACGACCCAACTTGGTATCATACAGCTAGGAAACACCGAAGATGCGAAATGGTACCCGACGCCAACAGACTGTTGCACGCAGATGGTGTAGCCCTAGCATAATAAAGGAAGCTCTCACGATAATAACCGCAGCAGAATGACATATTTGTTTTGCATCGATCACTATTTCATATTTCAGCTTTTGTTGTTCTGAGGTTTGGCACCATGCAATAAGTCTCGTAAATCTGTGTTGGAAATTGGGGGGGGGGAGATGGGGTATGACTTTCCCGGCCATGGAAATTTGAAAAACGGGGAGGGGGCACCATACACACTGTATGGGGGTGATGTTCACGATAAAAATGTACATCTGTAATGTGTATCAAATTCATGCAGAATCCTAGCTCAGAATGGTATAGTTAGACTTTTTAAAATTGCTTTCCCTTTTCAGTGATATTGAAAACATTCTAATAGTTGGGAAATTCTGAAAATTCTTCAAAATCCGCTGTAATTTTTGTGCTCATCACAAAAAAGCCTGGGGGTATATATACCCCCATCCCCCGGGGATTTACGCCTGTGGATTCGGGGTATTACGTTTCACCTCTTGGTTTCCAACGAATATACGGTGCAATGCGGCCAATCATACGCGAATTCAGCAGCACCAACTAAACAAAATACATGTTGCATTGAATTGAATGGAATAACGTCTCTTGGGCCCCTCGCCCTTTTCAAACAAATGGGTATACTTAATTCTATGACGACCAATGTGCCACTTGATGAAATACCAGCACATTTTTCTGTATTTTTGTTCTGTTTACATTGCAAGGTGCGCGAAAAAACTGACAAGAATAATTACACACATAAAGTGATGTCAGCAAGGGAAGACCAGGCGTCTCAGGTTTTGTGTATGATAAATCTGCAGATGTTCAGGAAATCAGATATCTAGTTTATGTCAGAATCCTTTACATACGCATGAATTATCAAGGTAAAGTTCTGACCATGGGATGTTAAGCCAGAGTAATATTGTTTAAGCTCTCTCAATTGAATGACATTTCCGGGAGAGCCACTGGGTGCTCTAGGATTAACAAAAAGAAATCCCCTTGTTGCTTTATAATCCACGATGAACCTGTGCGTGGATGCAGTGGAAGTAGCGCTACAAGAGAGGACAAATTGGTAGTAACTACTGCAAAAACTGTGGTGTTAAATTGGTGTCAATTCAACATCCTCAGTGTAATCAAAGGATTATGTCAGAGTAGGCGTTGTCCTCTAATGACACCAAGGGTGTTCAATTAACGCCACATTTTTTGCAATGAACCAGGAAATGTATTGCTTATTGAACAGCCAGGGGTGTTCTGTTATCTTATAAGCACGTATGCAAGCTTAGTCTGGCGATTTCTGGTACCAAAAAGTTACAAAAACGCCTCAGGACTTTCGAATTATAGACTCGTTGGATTTGGACTTAGGATTTTATGAGCGGCGAAGCCTCGAGCCGCTTTGAAGACTATATGAGTGGACTCTTGTTGCATGAGATTAAACGAATATTCGCTTTCCCCCTTTTGAATATAGCATTAAGTTTCCTTTGGGAACATGGACGCGCTGTGCAAAGGAGCTCGCACTGCATATTTCAAATCAAAACGCAGTTTTTCTTCAAGCGACTTTCCACAACGTTTTTGTAACACAGCCATGCAGGTATTAAAAGACTTGAAGGGTACATCCACGGCCTCCTCATGAAAACAATGAAACTTTAAAAAAAAATTAAATCCGCATCGCATAGGCCGTTTTTCCCTGCTGTCTCTCCTTTCGGAGTATTGAGAATTGAGATGATCGAAAATTACCACTCGATTTGAAACTATACATTATGAGCCCATGAATATTAACTTCTGGTATACACCATACGCCGAAATGATAATAAATATCCTTTTGCGTTGGATCGATAGTTAATGACCAACTTTATGCCTGCTCTCCATCTCAACACGCATAAGACTTTGAAATGCAAGCAGTCATTATAATCGATTAAAAAAAAACCAGCCATGTTGTCTCTGAGAATTTGGGAGGAAAAATGCGAAACACACAGCAGCTGCTCAGTTGCTGGATAGCATCAGGAGGTTTGATAAACGCGTTCTGGGGACAATTTCTTGCAAGTGTCACGTCATGCTGTCGGTACAACACTGCGGTAGGAATGGGTATGGGCCCTCTGGGTACATACTGTATTGAAGCTATGGATGGCTGAACAGAGTGAGAAGCAACTGTTTACGACAATATGAGTTCGGTTAAGAAGAGGTTTTAGAACACAATACATGAGTACAGTGACGTACAACAAAAGGAAAAGGTGGAATACGGTAATAAATTGGTTCTAACGGCGTGGGAAGGCCGAATGCCAAGAGTTCCACATGCGGACATCACTAATTTTTCCTTGCAGTATAGTTTATTAGCCATCAGAAAGTGATAAAATGTCCTCAAATAAAAGGTCAGTGGAAATGTTGAAGCATTTACTTAGAAAATGAAACTTTGAATTTTTCCTAGGGTTTGTGCGGAGGGTGTCGACGTGTGAAGCAAATGTATGGAACACTTTCCGGCTAAATTTCCGAAACCCCATTCCTGGAGCCCCTTTAAAAAGGAGAGATTGAGAGCATCTCCGTGAATCACAATGGGGGTAGGGACACAAATTACATCACTGCAGCAACATGCACCATCAAAAAGATATCATTTGAAAGTAAAAAAATGACCTACCTGTGATTAAACAAGCAAGTACAGCTATCACCAAGCTCAACAGTGCCGAGGGGCCTGTCAACTCTCCAGCCACATACCCGACAATTACGAACACACCCACCGCAAGCGAGCCCCCGTGCCCCACTCCATACCGAGCCAGCTTGCAGGGGACACATCGTGCCCCCTCCGGTGATGAGGGCCGCTCCTGCCTCCGGGCACTCAGGGTGGTCTGCTGGACCTGCTTGGTCCGGGACAGTCGAGCGAAGAAGCTCCGGCAGAACTGCCCGGCGCTTCCCGCGCAATCGCCCATCGTTCAGGTTGCCAACTGCTCCAGTGCAAATATGCAATATGGCTACACGGGGGATTTTCGTCTGTGAGTCACAGTTTGCAGCTGACAATATTACCTTCGGGTTGTTAACACCGTACCCGCATATTCAGTGTATGGCGCAGAACGCTTGCGAAGTCACTATCCGCCTACTGAACTGAATGTTCATCGTCACACCACAGTGAAGTACTTCAACAGAAGCGACGCAATTCCGCGTGCCCACATTTTTTTGAGCCGGTTACCTGGAGTCGATCAAGTCCAGAGCTCCAAATGCATATCACAACATCAGACTCCAAACGCCCCAGGTTTACTCCCTACGGCTTCTAACCAAATACCGGTACTCGCTCCACTTTAGAAACACAAACTTCGTGTGTTGTCATCAATCTGCGTTTCTGCCGAGTTTGTATGGCATGACCCTCCAACTGGGTGCTTGTGAGTTTGCCTCCACTTCAGAGATTACCCAGACTAGCCATCACAATGTTTTTTTCGCTACAGGTGGTTTTGTGAATAGCTGGTCTCACACACAGATGTTGGCTAGCCTTCGCGTTTAGTACAAAGTCTGAACACACTGAATGCATTTATAAATCTCTTTGTTAAAAATCATGGTACTTAATTTTACTGCTGGGAAACTAACACTGAAACGACGCAAAACACTGGAGCGCATGCACACTAAGAAAACAGCGCAAATGCTGTTAAGCGGTTTCCTGCACTTGAACATCTAGCACCTCTTTCTTTCATCACAAGAAAGTTAAATCTGTGTTTGGGGTACACATTTTAACCTTTTTTTTGCTTGGTATTAATCAAAAGACTGTTTAATATCTACCGCGCTGCATAATGCACCATCGTTCCACTTCATTAATGCTCGTTCGCATGGCAACGGTACAGTGGAACTGACGTCTGATGCACTTTTCAAAGTCAAAAATCATGCCCTAAAAGAGTTTTCGTTAATCAGCTCCAGAAACAAGATCTAAATTATGGCAACTTTTCACGATTCATGAGCAACCCATCCTCCCCCCCTTTTTAAGGAGTTTCTTTCTCCTCATCTCGCTCACACCTAGTCCAGCCGGCTGGCAATTTGCCAACATTATGGGCTATGCAAAATGACAACAGTTGAAGGTTTCTGTATAGTGTCTCATGCATGAGTACACGGAGACATCATACCATATGGCATAGGTATCAATTGCTCTCCATAACACGCGTGTCTGCATGATGATAATGAGCGGTCTTCTTCGTACATAATACACGAAACAACGGCTGTTGTGTGATATTTTCGAAAATCAATGTGATTTTTGCTGATGCTTCACAAGTAGGGTATGTGGCTAATCATAACCCTAATAGGCCTAATGTTGATGAAAATTGCAAATATTTTCAAGAATCTAAACTCAATGCCAGTTGTTATTTCATATTTTCCTACAGATCTTCGAAAAAATCTGAGCGGTATAAGAGTCATTGCCTATCTTAGATATTCAAGTGACAGTCATAACGTCTTAATTACTTCACGTAAAATTCCGCTCACGACATCACTCCATTTTGCGCGACCCTGGGCTGCAGACGATCTGCGGATAAGTGTCAGATCAAATGTAAAAAACTGCCCAGGGACGCGTGCAACTTCATCACAGTATTGATAAACAATTATTTCGCGCCATCTGGTTAATTAAAAAGCGCGCCAACAGGTAGTTTGCCGTTATGATGTGATTAATTAATGCAACCCTGGATAAATTTATATAAAAGAACATCTCTTGAAACAGGGTCAACTTATATTTGCTTTGAGAGTTTTGTCTCAATAGAATGCTGGATGATTACTTAAACGGCTACATACGTCAATATTATAAGCAATGGTCTAAAGTGCATCTCTATGTCTTCTCTACGAGGTGTAATTTCCCTGAAACAGTTATCACTCTGTTTCTATAAATAATTTGTAAAGAATGTTTAAGCTATGCTATTCATCTGCCGTCTAGGAGTTGTACAACTCGTGGCAAACAGATTAGATTTTCAGAACGCGACTCACCGCGCATAAATTATGCCTGTTATTTACAGTGGTTTTTATTTATACCTGTACATGTACGTGTACGCTCATGGAAGGCTTCATTGATTCTAAAATACAGTTACATAGCCCCCTCTGTCGATAAGGGAAAAAATGGTCCAGATGATGGCTATATCCAACCACGGTCAACCGGCAACCAAACCGGACCCAACATGCATTTCAGGAGGGCGCCGCCACCTGTGCCAAGCGCGAACCATGTGCACACGCACGATCAACCACTGACGAAGCAGAGGCCTGCATCGCGCGATCAGTTAGATGCCAAGAACTGGTAAGATCGGTGTTGGTAGTCCCATGGGATGGGAGAAAGATTGGGCTTAAAGACAATCTGTTAAGGTACGACACTGTCTGCCGTCAAGGCGAAGTTACATTTTCAGAAGTCATGGAAGTAGCCTAGATCAAAAGTACATGAAGATGAGAGAGGCGAGACGGTACCGGTAAGTCTGGTTGAAACTGGTCGGGAATGGGGGCGGAGGGGGTGTGGCCTGTGGACGCAGCACGAAGCGATATACATGTATGTATGTTAGTAGCAGTGGGTTTCACCCTGGATCTGCCTATGGTGACAGGTTGTAATGGATGGGACCGGAGAATGGCATAAACTAGTCATTAATTCAAAAGTAGGTCTAGGCCTACTTCAAGTTCAAGTGGCCGAAGGCTGTTCTCTTTCTCCATGTTTGCATTAAGAAAGAAGTCAGTCATAACAGTTTGGCTGATGAGCAGATAAACCATGACTGAACACAGTAAAAGGGACTGACCTCATCTTTATTTCAGTGTCCTGTAAAAATCTAAGATTATTGGGTTAAAAACAAGCTGATAAAGCTTACCTTCAAAAATCTATATTTTCGTCAGTTGTCATGGTTGTAAATCAGAGGAAAAAAAAGAAACATTGCCATGAAAATTATGTTGTATTCCTCTCTGTTTCAACTTCCTGAACTTTTCAAAGTACTTCCGTATATTCCTGTCTTGCTTTGGATGTTACATGTAATTATGCGTGATACACACATGTGTTTGGTAAAATGGAACACAGACACTGCTCTGTATTCTCTTCAATTTAATTGTTTAATTAAAAAAAAAAGTTTAATTCTTCCCACTTTTATTTGTGACCCTTACAAAAATGGAAAGCGACATTCCAAATTAAGAGTGAAATGTGAAACAAAGCTCTGCAACGATTGAGTGACTTAATGAGAATCTTAATTACAGTATTGTATCACATGGAGTAGCCTGCAACTATATTAGACCATATTACACCGCTGCTCAACCAATGATGATATCCTTCGACACCATTAAAATTTCCTACTACATTATCTGTGCCAGTTGGGTGACCTTAACCAGGCATGACCTCAGGCATACCTTGACTGTGCTACATCTGTTCCTGTTTCCAATCGGTTTCCTTTACAGGTTCCTTTTTAAAGTAGTCAGGCCCCTTAAGCCCATCTCACCTATCCAAGGTGTGAAAACCACAAAAGCCATGGTGTCAGCATGGTGTCTTTCTAATCCTCATCATGGGGCCTCTGCATGCAGCCATATGGGTCTACAATAATTAGACAAGTGGTGGGGAGGGAGGGGGCTGGGGGAACATTCCCCTCCCCCCCACAAATTTCCATTGCCCCCCACTGAGAAAGCAGATGAATGGCTATTGAACAAGACTAACAAAAACTTGCCCCCAAAAAACCATACCACTGAAAGTTGGTGCCCCCCCCCATAAGGTGCTGGTGCCCCCTTTCTGCCCCTAATAGTAAGATCCTAGCTACACCACTGGATTAGAGGAGTACTTGGCAAAGCAGAACTGATTTGAGCAGCTCACAAATCATTCCAAATTCCCTCAAAGAACCTGTCACTGTGCGCTGTCAGCTTATTGACATGTTTACTGACAGCAGACAAAGATGAGTCAAGCCCCCCCTCCCACAGCTCAGCATGCCAATGAATTGAAATACTTGCAAATGGCTGCATCACTTAGTGGTGGTATCAAAGATCAGATCAGGAATGTGAACAGATTAAGTGAGACCAGAACCCAGGTTTCATCTCTCATTCAAAGTGCAAATATATATCTTTCAGACAGAAGTACATGCCAGGTTCACCATATGGTAGCTTCCCAGTGTGTGACTTTTATCTTTTTGCGCTTTACTGACAACACACAGTCAATTATTTCAGAATGTACCAGTGCTGTGTGCAGTGTACATAAAGGTAACAGCAAACATTGTCAATGAAGAATTACTGCAAACAGTCATACCCATTAATATGTCACTTCCTGTCATTTACAGACTTGCATTATGTACATAAGAAGGCGTTTTTAGGTATTTATGCCTATGAAATAATGCTGGAGGGGAAACAGGAGTTTTTAAACAATATTTAATAGGCTTACATTGTATTTGAAAAAACACTGTACGTGTACATAGAGTATTGGAAGACATTTGAGCATGTCGTGGTTTGATAACAATGAGCGGTCAGCAGCAGAGCAGGTGAATTAACACAAATAAGGCACTGACGTTGCTGCTGTGGGCTACGTGTAGTGTTACATTTCCTTCCACATGTATGTAGTTACATTTCATGTCCTGTTATTCTTCCTGCATGAACCATTGCACGGTGATCTGGAAGCCCCCAGAGTGTGCTGATACCGATTTTGAATGAAAAGAAGATGATTGAAGATATGATTGATTCACATCAATGACTGCCCCTCGTAACTTTTGCATGACTCATAGCCCTTTGCTTGTTGATTTAAACCAAGTATCACTGTCAACACGTATGTATGTTTTCAGATCTTCAGCAATGACAGTCACGTCGACCTTGGAAGTTGTGGAATTTCTACCGACTGCGCTTTGCCTGTTTGTCAGTGCTAATAGTACAAATAATAATGAACTACGGGTCAAGAGTTTATCATAAAACCAGCATTTATCCTGCCATTAGAGGCATGCCCCACTGTGTGGAGATTTTAGGGGCTATTAAATGTTAGGTTACACCATACATATAGGTCATGTGCATACACTGACTACAGTGATTATTCCTTGATTGGAGAATCAAGTTCAGTGTACTCAACAGGAGAGAGTAACTCCAGAAATTCACTTCATGGGAAATATTTCCAGACTATGATGAAAACTCACTGAAACTCTTGTCTGAATTTGAGATGTTTAACCATCATCAATTTGCAAGTGCTGTTGTGTCATGTGTGCCAAACATTCTAAAAAAAACCCAGTGTGTTAAAAGATTTTGAAGCTCATGTTAAGTTTTGTTTTGATCTAGAATCATACATGTACATTTACTCACTGACAATCACCCCAAACAGTTGATTGAAAGTTTGCCCTACCATGCCTACAGAGATAAAAGCAGTTGGATCAACAAGAATTACTATGTTCCTCTGGTTTGGGTTTGAATTATCAGGGCTAACCCCAAATCTGTACAATCAGTGACTTTCTCCAGATGTTGATGTAATTTGATCACAAGGCCATAATAGGTACACTGTAGGCCTCCATTCAGCCACTTTAATTACACTGGGCACTGTACTCATGTGGGGACAGTCTGTGATTGAATTTTAGGGCAGGGCTTGGAGTTGCCCAAGCTTGGGCTAATTGAAGGACTTTGTACATGTAGGCACTGAACAATGAACAGGAAATGTGCTATGAAAATTTCAATTACACATGCCAAAAATTCTGAAGTACTGCAAATGTAACTGACGTGCATTCATAATTTTGATTTGAATTCTGCATGAAGCATTTTATAGTTGTTACATTTTAACTCACAAGCGTGCAATTTTACCTTTTGGCCTTGCATGTCAATTTTTATTTGAAAAAAAATACAAACAAAACAAGAAAAACTTCTAAACTGGATAACCTGAAGCATCCACATGTCCCAGAACTGACACCTGTTTATCCACTGGGTCAACAGTACACCCTTCATCAATTTCTTTTGTCCACCGAGTACAGAATTTGTCAGTAGTAACCAAGCAACTACCAGAATTACCCATTTAATATTTAACTCCTTGTTTAT